CTATTCCGCTACTAATCGCGCCTATAACGACAATACTAGTGCGACCGCTACTCTAACCGATCCTTCGTTCTCGGCGACTTTAACTCCTTATATACGTTGCTTATATAGCCCTTTAGTACCTCGAAGCGCTTAGGCTCGAACGTTAATCTATGCGAAGGGACATTAAATAGTTACTCTTAGAGGTCGATAATATCGTATAGTATACGGTCTAGCCTAAATAGCGGCACTAGTTTAGTTAATATAGGCGGCATAGTAACAATAGTAAACTGATTATGCTATTTGAACTATTAGAAAGAGCTTAATCTACTATATACAAGAAATAGCGATAGAGATGAGGTTGGAATCGGAGGTATAACCGAGAAGGTTAACCCGGTACTAGAATAGGAAAAGCACTGTCGATTACTAGGCGAACTATACTAAGTTAGTAGATAACGCCCTCCGGAAGTAAACTACTGTTGCAAACAGTAGTACGCTAAATTTCCTGACATACAAGAATTGCTTATCCTTGTTTTTCCTATCCCTTCTAGGAAAATTGCCACTACGCTATAAAATTAAGGACCTCTTTTGCAACGCGAAGCTATACACCGCTATAGTATCTTCCGTCTCGAGGCTATTTCCCACGCTTGCGGCTTTAGGTATACTCCCTTCGCTTCGAATTCCTAGAAGACGTTACGTTACTTGTTTTCGAATCCTTATAGTATATTAGTGGATACAGTATGCGACCTAGGGTCGGTCTAAACTTCTCTAGATAAAGAAGTAGAAGTTAAAGGCAGAACTACGGCTTCGACGCATTCCTCCGCATTTGCGTTAGTTGTCTAGGATGTGTATATTAATATTATATTAAGGCAAGCAGATACTATCCGTTCGTGCAGACACTAGAGTAGCTCTATAGTTAATATAAGCTTCTTTTAGCTATAGTCGCGTAGTTAGAAGAGACTTTTGCTAAACGATCTCGACGACCTAGAAGATCTGCTTGTTTAACGGCGCCGGCGGAATAATAATGCCTTGTGTTAGCGCGATCGGCTTTAGGGCACTAACGTCGGACTATTCTTTGCAATTAGGAGCACTACGTAGCTATCAATGGTATAGACTACTAAGGGTTAGCTTTTACCTATTACTCGGCCGCGGGGAAGCCTACGAGTGCTAAGTAGCTTACCGCTACTAATTTTGTTAGGCACTTTACTCGTAGAATAGTATATCTTCCTCCCTTCTACGTACCTACGTATATAGTGCATTTTAAAGCTAAAGTTGTCGCTATAAAGCAGTAGTATAGCCGTTTCCGAGGTATTGCGAGGTAAAGAATGCGACTAAGTAAAGAGCTTAGCGTAGAATACTAAGAGTTGCTAAAGGACTGCTTTACGTAAGGCAAAGATGTCTATTAAACTATAGAGATAAGTCGACTATCTATCTATAGGCGTACGGTATATAGAGCCCTCGATAACTAGCGGTTATTTAGCGAAATCTACCCTCCTTATATTATAAAGCGAGGCCGCAAGACTATTCTTAATAATAAGCAAGAGATATTTATTAAGGCGTTATTATCTAACCGACCGGACTCGTACTTCGTAGAGGTAATATAGGCGCTTATCGACGAGTAGCCGGAGCTTTAAGAGGTATTAAAATATACGCATTTATCGAGTGTCTTAAAGCGGCGTAATTAGAGGCGTAAATCGGTATAAAGGAAGGCGAAGGAGCGTAACCTATTACTAAGGGCTCTATAGATGTTTAGGTGCGCTAAATAGCCGGTAGATAGGCTAATATTTATCGACGAGACTGCCTATAATTAGAAGACTAGTTAGCGGAAGTATAGATAGTCTCTAAAGGGCATTAATTGTAGAGACTTCCGGTACGCGTAGCGAGAAGTAAGATAGTCTATATTACCCGCTTTTACTATTAATAGCTATCTACCTTATACGATTAGTCGATAAGGCTCGATAACTCGAGAGATCTTCGTCGCTTAGTTAACTAAATAGGTAATATCTTACCTCGAAGGCTATCCGCCGATAATCTTTGTAATAGATAATACTAGTATCTACTATAGCTCGGAGGTAAGAGAGGCGATATTCTTAGCTAGTTACTAACTCGAATACCTGCCTCCGTACTTACCGGATTTGAATCCTATCGAATAGACCTTTAACTGCTTAAAGTACTATATTAAGAGGCATATTCGAGACGCAGAATACTTCTTAAACTTCGGCGACTTCTTATATTATTGCCTATAGCGATATTAAGGGCCGAGGGCGTAGAAACTCTTCGAATATGCCGGATACAACGTCTACTACCTAGATTTCGCGTTTTCTAAAGAGGGCTTCGTTAGTGCCGCCGGCTACGTATAAGATCTAATAGGTCTCGATCCGGAAGAGTCTACCTAGTACCTAGTATAACTAGTGTCTTTATACGCCGCCGGCGTCGATTAGTAAGTAGATTAAGGATATAGATAGCGACGAAGAATCTAAAGAAGAATAGGAGTAATAACGTAACGTAGCGGTAGAATGCGCTAGTGCGACTAGCGCGCTCGAGCCTAAGAAGTGTTATAAATGTTCGAATTCTAGGCTTTTATATAAAGATAAAATCTCAATATATAACGCAATATAATACTAGATATTTAATATATAGAATGTGTTTAGTCTAATTAGTCCGTGCCTACAATAATTATAAAAAATAATAGTATAAACGTTATATAGCACTACGAGAAGTAGAGCCTAAATTCGCACTTTATATAGCATCCTTAGCTCCGGCTAGCTCCGCCGCTATAATCTTATCGGCTTTTAGTATTAGGAACTTCTCGATTGCTTCCTTTATTCTATACCGTATACTCGCCTTTGTTTTGAACTCTTCCTACTATTGTTTCTTACTTATATTAGCGATAGTAACTAGGTCGAAGTCCTCGTCGATATAGGTCTTCTATATAGCTCGCATTTCCGCCGAGTCGTAAAATAGCGGTATCTCGAGTGCCTACTAGAAGAATCCGACCCTTAGCTCCTTACCCTCCTTTAAACCCTCCGGTAGCACTATTAGCAACGATATATCCTTTATAAGACCTAGTCTTAGCAGGGTACGAGCTAGTATCTTCGAAGGAGTCGTAGGAGTGAATCTAGGTCCTATAGCTGCTTAGAAACTAGCCGCTGCTTTATCTCCGAAGATAATATTAATAGGAGCCTAGACCTTCGGGCGGGCTTTTAAAGCCTCGCTATAACCGCTAGTAACGCCCTTCTTCTTTAACTAATTAGCGACCTTCTTAGCTACATCTCTCTCGAAGTATAGCTTAATTATTATAATAAGGACCTCTATATATATCGGATCGCTAAATTTCTACTAGCCTTAAGCGATTAATCTTGCTAGCAATTTGATTACTTCGGAGGTTATAAGCTAGTGCTTATTAGGTACGTCTTGCTTGTCCGGATTGCGCTAGTAGTAGGTCTTAGGTTCTTTAATCTTAACGTTGCGACAAGTACTAAGATTATACGCAAAGTAAGCTCGAATATTAACCTCGAAGTTACCCTTCTCGTTTAGTTCTATTACTTAAACGTTAGCGAGAGCGGCTTGCTACTAACCTAGCGTCTTACTAAGAGGTCTCTTGCTAGCAGCTATACCTTGCCTCTACGCTAAGCTAACTAGACCTACGCTAATAGGCCTTAGTTTAGTATAGAAGAATATATTAAGTTAAGGGTTAGTTAGCAACTCCTCGTCGATCTAGTAACCGAGACGGTTAAGGGTACGGCTATAAGCCTTGTCTTCTTCCGTAGCCTTATTATTATTATTATTAAATAGTTGCAGCTAGGTCTCTTAATAATAATCCTTCTCTTTAACCCCTTTATAATAAGCCGATAAAGTTACCTTTAAATAGCGCTCTAAGCTATACTTCTCGGTTACTTTACCTACCTATTTGTATCTATTCTAACCCTCGGCTAGATCCGCAACGTCGAAGACATTACGCTTTAAGGTAACCTACCTATCTTCTTTAGTCTTCTTCGTAGTATCTATAAGGTACTAGCAACCTCTATAGTCTATTAAAACGAGGCCCTTCTTATTAGTAAGCCGCTCTCGAATATAGCTCTCGGGCGTAAGAGCTATATTGCTACGACTGAGAGCCTTTAATCTTCTAGTCGTAGAAGAAGACTAAGACTCGAAGGACGTCGTTATAGAGCTGCCTATCTTACCGCCTATCTTACCGCTAACGTTACTAGCTACCTCTTTAAGCGAGTTAAGTACTGCTTATTCCTTAGTACCGGAAGCCGTAGTACCCGCAGTAAAGCTATTATTTACTCTATCGATTAGCGGTACGGATTTAGCCGTAGGCTTCTTCCTAGCCGGATTAGCTATCGGTAGCGGCGTAATTAGCTTCTCGAGCGTCTTTAAAATAGGCTTCTTCTTAACTATAGCGGTTACCTTAGTTAGACTCGTATCTAGTCGCTTAGGAGCCTTACCGGTAGTTAAGCGAGTCGTACGACCTTCTATTAATACTTAGCGGCTTGCGGAATACTCTCGTTCTTAACCCTAATCGATACCTCGGCGTAGGTTTAGATAAATTAGAACTATTAGCGCTATTCTATACAGTCTTAAGAGCATCTATACACTAAGTTTGCTAAGAGAGCTGCTCTTAGCACCCCTAAAGCGTATTCTCGAAGATCGCGGCTCTGCGGACCGAGAGTGACAGGTAAAAGCCAACCCTTAGTAGACAATCGCTTGACGTCACTTCCTCGCGAGCGATCGCCAGCTGCTTGCTCATGGGAAAGGTGCGATGCCTTCTCAGCGAAGTGGTAGGAGAACGGGCATTAGGACGATGATGACTGTTAAGGGTGGCACTCATTCCGCATATCAATCATATTAATAGCTGTTCCTGGAGAACACGGCACGCACGCATGCTATAGCTTCACATGGCGTGGCTGTTTGAACGGGCTTCACCACCGCACCTCGTGATAGACGCTACCTCCATCGACGAGATCGCCCTTGTTCGTTTTGCCAGAAGCTAGGGCAGTCGAACAGAATAGTCGCTGTGTTCAATGGGCCGCCTTTAGGTCTACGCTCGCAAGCGTCTCTGCAGCGTACTTGCCAGCAGGATCGGTGCCTTCGGAGTTGAGGTTGCCAACCAAGGTTTCCCAGAACACATCGGGAGGCTTGTCGTCTGGATCTTCCCATCCTCCTACTGCAATCCATTTCCCCGTTATGGTATCACCGACAGCAGGCTTCTCTTGCAATAGGCGATGATTGATTGCGGATGATACGATAGAAGTCACGATAAGTGGGATGATCCCGAGCGCGGTGGCTGGGAAATTGCGACTCGCACGGCCGTGCGTGGTGCAGTGGACATGACTGTATTCAGAAGAGGGCTAATTACAGAAAGCCCAAAGATGAAGTGTGCACAGTTGCAGCCTCAGGCATCATGCACGTGATAACCTACACACACACTTCAAGTCAATCAAGTCAGTCATGCTCGTTGCGAAAGGAAAACCCACCAATTGCTAGCAGGACCGGATGGGGATGGCATCTTGAAAAGCAGCTTGGACGTCTGGACCTTCGGAAGTTCTTCGGCGGCCATCTTCGTATTCACTACTCAGGAATACTGCCTAGCGACTGAGACATCAAAACTGAGTGATCGAGTCTTCCCACCCGGACGCAAAACGTCAGTGGACGGCACAGGATTGAGCATGCGATGCTCAGCCTCTATAGCCTTACCGGCGCAGTACCTGAAGTCTGAAGAGGACGCCATCGGATGCGCATCACGTCGGCGATAGCATTTGAGAGGCCTGCCTGCCCGTCTTTCGCCGCGCCTCTACGGCAGCTCAACTCGCTTGACATACATACTGCTTCGAGGCTGTACAGAATATGTAGCGCATAGGATCTCGAAGCCAGACAGCTCGAAGCTACAAGAGCTACCCACCACGACCAGCAAGCTAAGCTACCAAACCAGGAGCACCTGACAGAAGCCACAGAGATAAAACACTCTACACCCATCACCATGTCCTTCAGCGAGAAGGCCTCGGACCTATTGACAGTATTGGATCTTCCCGTCGAGGCAAGCGAGTAACGAACAGCCTGCGAAACCAACAACTACAAAAGCTAACAAAAATCCCCGCCGCCATCCGCCAACATGTCCTCAGCCTTCCAAAACACATCCCTCAACTTAGCCGGTCTCGTAGCCCTCGCAGATCTCAACACAATAGCCCTCCGAACAGCCCTCACCGGAACCTCAACCTTCCTCGACGCCCTCGTGCTGGCCCCAGGTCTGCACAGACAACAAAATTCCCCGGAACTTCACAAAGGCGAATTCCCTGCTTGTGCGGCCATGACGAGCGGCTACGTGTTTCGCGTCGAGAATCCGGCGACGGTGCTGTTTTTGCAGAAAGTGGGTAAGACTGGACACTTGACGACGCTGAGAGTGTATGCCTCGAGACGAGATTCACGGACGTCGAGTTTTGGGGGTGCAATGGCGTATACTGCTGCCGTATCGATGACTCTCACGGTTCTGTTCTGGGTGATAGTTTCACTACAGGACGGGTGGGGTGTAAGCGTCCTCGGACTCCTGATTTTCTCTCGCCTGCTCAACATCATTGTGATCCGTCGCAGATCCGTACCCGGCTGGTTTGGAGCCAAAGAGCCCGGAGTCAAAGGCGATCTTCTAGTCCTCCTCAGCCAAGATCGGTGGATTCGACTGCAAGGCGATGTTGATGATCTCAAAGCCGTGACTTCGGGGCAATGGTTACGAGAACCTACTTTTTTCGAGAGCTCGCTGGTGGGGTTTGCGACTTTACTGGTGTATCTCGACGCTGCACTTGCTGGGAACGCAGCTCAGACGAGCAAGCTGCTGCTCCTGATCCTCCTCTTCGGCTCCGGAGGTCTGCTGGGAATTGCGAATGAGTGTACCGAAGTGCTTCAAATGCATGGCCGGCTGATTGAGGTTACCGGCCTGCCGAAAGCATATCCAAGACGTCTGGCTCTGGCCGAAGAACTCATTCTCAAGACCGGCCGCAAGGACTGGGCAGTCCGTGTGGGCATGGTGCAGCCTGACCACAAAATAAAATCAGAGAAGGAGCTAGACGGCGTTGCGACCATGTGATCGAAGGATCTCATCTGATACATCTATCGAAGCTGACCGTATTTATTTCATTACTATTAGGTATATCAACATCCACATCATCACGGCCGTCTCAGCGTCAAAAAAAAAACTCTCGGATGCATTCATCGATCAACTCTGCTTTGAACGACCATGGCGACTTCCTCTCCTGGTATTCATATACATCTCCAAAGCCGAACCATTACTGGAGCTTGCAGTATGACTGCCCGTCGTAGCCGCAGATCTTCTTGCGATCCTGGTTTCCCAAGCCATAGGACCTTTCGGGGAGTCTGGGACTTCTTCTGGCAGGGCTGGGATCGGTCCATTGAACGTGCCATTGGTCTTGAGCACTGCCATCAAGGCAGCAGACAAGAGAGCATTCTGCTTCTCCAACGCCTCCAATCGAGCATCGATGCGGGATGTGGCGCGAGTGGAGGTTCGCTCAGAGTGTTTGGTCACAGCAGAAGTCTTCCTCTGGGTGGCAATATGAGGGAGAGTCTGGTTCTTCTTTGATGAAGTAGAGATAGGCGAGACATCGTGGGAAGGGACTACGGGCATCTCTTTCGTATTGAGCTGTTGGCATCGCTTGACTCCAGTATTAGGCTTTTCTGAGCCAGAAGCCGGGGGTGTGGGTGGCAGGGCTCGATTTGGGGCCGGAGAAGGTAGGGGTGGAGCGTCATCGTCGAAACGTTTCAACACCGGACTGCTGGCTCTCGGAGATGAATGAATACTGTTGCTGTTGCGACTAAGTCGGCGCTGCTTGAAAGCGTTCCTGGGCAGCGAAGCAGAACGAGGGCGAGGCGCATACGACTTGCCTTTGGCTTCCTTGATGACCAGTTTCGCAGGTTTTGGTGGTGTTTTTGTCTTGGGTACTGGTCGTTCTTCAGCCACCAGCATCATTGGCGACATACAAATACCAGCTTGAGCCGCTCGCGCTTCTGCAGAGGCACTGGGCGAGATTGGCGTATAGCCAGTCTGATCTTCTTGGTCTGATTCTTGACTTGCACGAGACGGGACTGGAGACACTGGCGAAGTCGACTGCGTAACCTTTTGCAAAGATCTTGAGCCCGATTCCATACTTGTACGACTGGCTGCCGATGGATTTCGTAATGGCCGAGGTCGAAGGTCGGGAATCGTGATCTGAGGTCTCAACTTCTTCAATCGCTGTCGCGTAACTTGTGCCGGTGCGTGCGCAACCGAATCTATCGTTCGATTCACGGCAGATGGCCGATCTCTCAACTTCCGCGCCCGCACTCGCTCTTCTCGCTCTCTGCGATTGGCTGGATACGGCATATGTTGGATGATGCCCTGCTTGGTTTTTTCGCGAGACTTGGGTCGCCTCGACATTGGGCCTGTACACTCGGTGGTGACTACGGCTCTCATTGGCTCCATTTCGTAGTTGAAGTCGCTCGAGGATTTGATACTTGGTGCGACTCTTGGTGTGCCTTTCCTGGCGCTCTCGTGGCACGATACGACGTTCTCGATATTGCGATGATCTCGTCTCAGCCTCAACGGACTTTTCGGCGGCGGTGGTCCTGGACTATCCGGAAAGTTGAGGCTATCTGAGACACTCCTCTGGTACATCGTTGACGCGATGCTGGATGCTCGTTGGAGAAGGACTGGATGACTACCCAGACGTCGTGGGAGTGGATGTCTGATCTCGATCTCCTTGCCAGGACTGGGATGCTTTACGGGAAACTCTTCGTGCGGCAGTGATATGTTCGGTGTATGTGGAAACCCTTCCTGGATCGGCGAGATTGGGTGGCTCGTCAACGCCCTTGACGTGTCGAAGCATAGCTTTGGCGGTGGCCGGTCAAAGGTGTCGCTATGGTATGAATCTGCCATTGAGATTGCTGACTCTGGCACTGGGCTTGGCGGCTCCGAGGCGGCAGGGCGGACTGGAGTAGGATTGTTTCTATGACGAGCCAAGCGATGCGCTACTTCTTGGTAACTGGACGCAGGCTTTGAACGAAGGTCAACAGCAGTCGATGCTGTAGAGAAGTTGGTCGACAGCTTAGCACTCTCGTGAGGATCCTGTTGCTTCTCCAAGTGCGAAAGCCAGTGGTCAAAGTCATGTCCGCCATAATTCTGCAAGATGTCGCCAGTGGCCGAAGTCACGTCGTCGTGGAAACAGACCGACACTCTCGATTCCAGAATGTCAGGACTACCACTTGTCAGTCTGCGTTGAGAGCAACATCGCATCGATCTCACCTCAATATCGAAGGCTGGTAATCGAGCATTGCCTGGTCGCTACCACTATTTGCACTTTTGTGGACCTTCGGCTCTCCTTTCGGCTTCAAGGCGAGGTACCGTTTACCTGGGATCAAATTGTAAGATCGTCTTACCGAACTGCTCACGGAGAGATATCATCACTTACCTGTGGAAGACACTTTCTGCTCGCAACCGACGGGAACAGACCGGTGAACATCGGCAAGCAATCCACCTTCGTCTGGAATCGTGTCATCGCCACTATTACTCACAACCTTGTTTAACCTGAGACGAGATCGATTAGCTGAAACGTGAGAGATTGCAACTGTCATTCATTACGAACCTCTCATGAGCAGTCTGGACAGGCGTTGCATGGCGTTGATGATGTTGCTTCTGCCCACCCAGCCGCAGCAGTCGCAGGGCGGTCTTGCCACTTACTGCTCGCCGTGGATGTTCAATCTTGCTGGGCTTGCGATGCGGTGGTGCTGGCCCAGTGGTTCTGAGGAAGAAGGCCAGGTCATAAAGCTCATTGTCCTTGGGCAGGCGAGCCAAGCTGGTCTGTGTGATCATTTTATCGTCGTTGACGCTGACCGGGGGGTTTGAGTACGGCGCCTGCGTAGTACATGCGTAGTGCATCGACCATGAATCGGGTCTCGACAGCGGCACGGTCTGGTCGTCAATCAGCGGGCTCACCGGACTCGGGCAGCGAGTACTGTCGTCGAAATGTTGACGAATGGAGTGCTCTCGCCAGATGGTCGAGCTTGCTTTCCTGATCTTGTCCCGCTGGGAATCGGTGGCATCAGCATCAGCAGTGGTGGTGGTGGTGGTGGTGGTGGTGGAGGAGGGTCCTTGTCCCATGATGGCGCTCTCATAGACTGGGCCAGCGCCAATGCTCATGCCCGGCGTCGGGCCAAACATGTCGGGACGAGGAGATTGCGAGGGGCTTCCAGCGCGTGTTATCACGCAAAGGCGCGGAGTGTGGTTGGCAAAGGTGGGATTGCTGGGCGGTCGATAACGGCGCTGCAGTTCGGACAGCTGCATCCGACACGAGCTCTGGCAGCTGCTTCAGGTAAAGAGGCACGGGATTCTGGAGCACGCTGGGCTGGCCAAGCTACGCTTTCGACTGAACAGCCCGACGTGACGCTGGGCGAGAATGGGCGCTCGCTGCGGGAAGGGAAGGGAAGCTTGGCCTGTCGATCATTGGGATGCAGAAATTGGAGGGCCAGGCGGCAGAGACGAGCACAGCACAGCACAGCACAGCACAGCACAGCACCGGCGATCGATTCGATGTGCAAAGCAGGCAGCAAGACAGAAGGGACAGGACGAGAAGTAGGAGGGAAGGGAAGGGAACGAAAAGAGACAAGTCTCGAATAGAAACAAGAAAAGCGCACAGGAAGGCCGGCTGCAGGCGTGTGGGCAGGTCATAGGCACATAGAAGGTCATATTCCTTGACGATGAAGCTGTCGAGCTCTCACAAAGACGCAAGGCAGGTATGCGGCGCGCACCGCCCTGGCAGCACCACAGCAGATTTGTGCGCCGCGCTCTGCTGGCGCGAACAGCAGCGCTGCGTTATGCCCGGGATGGTGTCTTGCTGCTGTCTCGTGATGGGGTCCACCAACCTGTGCATGGTGTACACGCTCTGTAATACACGATGTATACGACCCTTTCAGGCGAGCTCGTTGTGTATATACAAGGCGGAGTTATCGCATACGCTGATATCCCGCCTACAACCCGCCAAGCTGCTTAATATTGCTCGGATATCCCAGTATTCGGGCATACCCGATGTGTATCCATGGGCGTACACCAGTATAATATACGATGTACACAACCTCCATTTCTCCGGGGCTGTAAACCCACAACACTGCTGCTGTCGAAGGACGGGCTGCAGGCGGTCGACGGGTGATGTCATGTCTCAGGCCAGTCCAGGCGCAATGGATGGAGGGACATGGGCCCCGGTGTGAGATGCATCGCACCGTGGCGGATCATCGAGGTAGCGGAGAGTCGAAGGGGGGGCGGAGCCAGGCACAGGCACACAGGCACAGGCACAGGCACAGGTCAGCAGTGGACGGTGGTACAAATGCGGGTCGAGCTGCATCTGCAGTATCACCAAAGGACGAATCCCTGCAAAAGCAAATTCGAAAACTTCGGTAGAACGGAACGGCTGACGTTGTTGCATCTGTACGACGTGTCGGAACGGCTGCAGCAGCACAAGCAAGCACGAGTCGAGTCCTGCAACGGCCACCAATTGCCAGTGACGGTGTCGGTAGTGAACATGCGTTCGATGGAGGCGATATGTCATAGCATGGTGCGTGCATGGCCGGGCGCCGCGAAACTACTGCACACCATGCCTTCCATTCCGATATGATGAAGCTTCGACCAGTGCACACATGAGAACGGCCGTTGCGTAACCAGGCCGCGACCATCACATCACCCTCCAACTCAGAGAAATCCACCCACTATATCGGCATGTGTTCCGTCAACACCGCCACCACGAGCTCATGTGTCCCCGGAGTGAAGCAGCCATCCATGTATCACCTCACCGTGTGCCCTGACGCAAGCGCTACATAAGTGAGAAGACGCGCCTCACGCATTGCCGCTGGAGCACTGTCCTCGACTGTACTATCTTCTCTCATCCCCGATTTCTTCCGTCAACGCGTCTTGCTGGCGCTCTCTGCTACGCGTCGCGTGTCTCTTGCCCACTGTCTCATGGATCCTATCTGCCGCCGGGCTTTGCTTTCTTAGGTATAAACATGCTGCTGCTTGCCGCTTTTCGCTTGTATGGCTTGGGCACCTGCGCAAGCCCGGGATTCTGTGGTCTCGCGTTGCCATTGCTGCCGTTGCCCGGGCCATCCCATCCTCCAGACAGAGGAGTATTAGCCCTCGATGCCGACTCATTCGATGCCGCGACTGACGGCTCGCGCATCGAAGCTGGCTTGGAGTCTTCTCCGTCGTTCGCTGTGTTCGATCGACTCTTTTCATCATCCTCCATCTTGGCATGTTGGTCAGCATCTTTCATTTCCACGTCATCGTCAGCGCTGGGTATTGCAGCCTTATGCTTGCTCTTCTTGATGTCTTCAAAGCGATATCGTATACCATCCATCTTTTCAGCATCGGCAGCTTTGGCGAAAGGGGTCCTTTCTGCTTGCCGAGGCTTTGATGCAGCGTCATTATGGTCTCCGTCAGCTTTCGCCGATGGCTTGGTCGGCTCGGTCTTAATATTGCTCGCATCTAGCATGCTCAGAGTCCTGTTGTTGCTGGCTGGAAACTGGCTCGATGGCTGATGCAACATGCGCTTCACGTCTCCACTTGTAAGGCAATCCCGCTCGCGCGCATCCTCAACCAGTCGCTTCCAGTACTGACCACGCATAAGCGACTCCGAGTTTCCCAACACCCAAAGACTGCTTTTCGCTCGAGTGAGACCGACGTTCATCCGTCGAATGTCTTGCAAGAAACCGATGCCCCCGGCGGGTGAAGCACGCACGCAAGAAAAGATGATGATTTCGCTCTCACGACCTTGGAAAGCGTCCGTTGTGTTGAACTCGATGAAGTCGAAGATCTGCTGTCCGTACTTTGAGGCAAATCGGTTCTTCAGCTCGCGAAGTTGCGATTTATATGGCGTGATGATACCAATCTTGCTGGTGAAATCATAGTCCGGAAAGTCTGCTCGTAGACGATCGTACAGCAACTCCGCGATCGCAATTTCAGCTCGGTTCACCAAAGAGTGGCCTTTGGGAGCCGATTCATGTTGTCCAGCAACGTCAAAGAATCGGTATGGCGCGAGCAGAGCACTCTTATGCCACGGCTGCGCCCTAAGCTTTGCCATACTGGGCCCGTCTTTGAGCAAGCCGTCGTAGAAGGATCTGCTCGGAAACAGACTGATGTCGGGATGCATACGGTACTGAGTGTCAAGTAGATGCACCTCATCAGGAAAGTTGTTCTGCATCCGCACGAAAAGTGATTGCTCATACTGGAATTTGGCCGCCTCTTTCGAGAAGACTGTGGGCGGCAATTGCTTAGGGTCACCGACCATGATGCATTTGATGCAGCCGTACTTGAGAGGAATGAGTGAGCTCATTTCCACACATTGTGCCGCCTCATCGATGACGACAGTCTCGAATTCAATGTTCAGGCTTTGAAACATATCGTGACCAGATCCGGAGAGGGTTGCGCAGATGACATGTGCTTGGTCAAGCACGGCTTGCTGCGCTCGCTTTCGATTCAGCTCTTGCTCACGTCCAGCATTGCGTTCTGAATCCTTGACATTGTCTATCCGTGCGCCTAGCTCGGCCTTGCGACGCCTTACGTGCACGATTGAATCGTCCAAAGTCTTGCGTTCCTTTTCGGGCATTTTCTCACCGGCATCAGCCGCATCACGCTGTGCATAAAGCTCTCGTAGCTGGGCGGAGATTTGCTCGTGCTCCTTGAATAACTCGGCGTTGCGCTGCCGCTGTTTCTCATCGGCTTCGTTGCCGCCGCCCAGCTTCTTTGCAACGAGCTCATCCATTGTGACATCTCTGACTTGTGTGTTGATAGCGTCGCTGCGACCAAGGCGCACCACGTTGATTGCGTGATTCTGTCCATTCTTGGTCTTCACGCCCTGCTTCAGACGAATGACCAATTCATCTACTGCAGCGTTGCTGGGCGCGCAGACAAGAAGTTTCTTGGACGCCGAATCACTGGCAAAGTTGCTGTTCGCTGCCGGAACAGAGATTCGCGTGGCACCTCTTGGGTTGTTGGCAAGCGTTTGCGAAAGAAGTCCACCAACAATCGCCACAATGGTCTTGGTCTTGCCAGATCCGGGCGGACCTTGAATGAGTGTAAAGCCTTCATTTTCTAGAGCGCCGTTTACAGCCTCCGATTGCGCTGCATTGAGATTCCAGCAATCACGATAAGAATTGATTTGGCGTTCACTGAAGTTGATCTTTGACGATGGCTTGGCTCTGACGATCTGGTTGCAGAGATCGTAGTAGGTCAAACCCTTGAGCGCTCCATACTCGCGCTCCAACGGTGTAATAGATTGGATTTTCACACCGTAGATGAGCTGTTGCGTTGTGAGTTGTGGTGCCAGCGATCCACCGGGCATGACTTGGTAGACAATTTCGAGGTGTGCTTTTTGACGCTTGACTTTATATATCCGAGCGAGACAATGAGGTGCTTCAGCATCGGTGAGAGGCTTCTTCGATCTCGAAAAGAGGATGATGTCACCTTCTGAAAGTGACAGGTCGCGATTCTCCTGGTGTCCGATGATGCTGCTGATTTCGAGAAACTGGTCGACATTGCTGCGATTCTGCACCTTGATCTCGTAGGGCTTAGAGCTGCTTTCTTCCCGCTCTTTGGCCATTCCTTGCCATGCCTCAAGGATCAGCAGAGGCTCAAACGTGTTCTGGTAGGTGATTGGGTCGCGGAATGAGTTCTCCACTGTAGAGAATTCGTGCGAGTTGTGTCCTGGTGGATAGTCTCCTGAGTAGAAGACATCCCAGCCCAAGATTATGCGGTGTAATGGTCCCAGATCCGGCGCAAGTCGAGCGCGCATGTCCTTGTGCGAACGATTCTGACGATTGATGCGAGTTGCACGATTTTTGACTTCAGGTTTGAGCCCTTGCGCGTTGCTGAGGTCAAGCTCCGGTCGTACCTGTTTCTTCGGCTTGCCTGGGGGTCCAAATAAATCGTTGTCAAGGTCATCCTCTGAATCGCTCTCATCGTCATCAGAATCAACCATGACAGTCTGCCCTTTCACAGAGTGATCTGCGCCATAGTTGCCAACGCCCAAAACTCCAGTCCCAGCACCAGAAGATTTTGCCTTTGCGAGAGCAGCTTCGCGCCTGGCTTTGTCTTCAGCCTGAGCTTTCCTACGGTTAGCAACGAATGCATCTTGTAGTTGTTGTTTCTGCTTCATCTCTTGCTGCTGCTTCAGAAGATTGTTGAACTTTGGCTCCTTCGGCTCTCCTTTCTTCTGCTCGACAGCTTTGCTCCATTTGCCGATGTCCAGAGTGCCTTTGGCTTTCGATGCGGTTGTAGAGGTGGGCGTTGAAGCTCCAGATTCGCTACCGGCGCGTCCTGCGAATGCGAATCTATCAAGAGAGCTCTGCTTTTTCTTGGCTTGGGATGTTTCAATGATGCCTGACAGAGAATCGCCAATGTGTCGTTCCAGAGCGCGCTGCAGCTCGGCTTTGTGGTGTGCTGCAAGCTTCGTTTTGATCTTTTGGGAGCCGGTCTCTATTACAATCCTTTCAACGTAATCCTCTGCTTCTTCGCCAACTCTTATACCAACATCTTGCAACCTAATCAACATCTTGCTGGTCAGACTGACAGCTTTAGTGATGAGGTAATCATCGCGCAGTCGAAGCCACTTGACTACGCTCCGAAACGCTCGATTCGTGCAATTGAGGAGCGACTTGCTATCTCCGGGAGCACCACTAGAGTCGATGACACCAGCGAGGACTGCGTATTGATCGAATGTGTACTCTGCAAAGTCCATTGTATCGCGACAGAATTCCTGCATTTTGTGCTTGTCGAGGCCTGTTCCACTCCAATGCTCAGTCATTTCGAAGATCATTTCGGTGATACTCCAAACTCGGAACCAGAACACCTTGAGCGCTCGGAGATCGGATTCAGTCCAACGACTCTCCTTGCGAAGAATGCCATCCTGCGTGTTACAGAGGCAGTCGAGTATATCTCGACAAAGCTTGAGGGAAACCTCGCAGGGACCAAATATGCGTGCTTCCTGAATCAGTCCCAGACTCTCTCCGACGGCGGATAGCATTGTACCGAGCATGAGTTCAATGACGTGGAACAAACTGTCTCTTCGATTGTCTTGGCCGCTCAGTGCCTTCAGCGCTGAAAGCGTGCTCTGATGGATCTCGTCATTGGCACTGAACAAAAGCGTCATGAAGCCTTGTGATGCCTTCTGATCCATCAGCAAGTCCATCAGCTGCTCGGGCGTGAAGTGATCAACGCGTCCCAGAAAGTCTGTAATGACATGATTCTGGGCTCGCGAGAGTGCGTTGTTCCAATTCGGTGCTGGCTTTGGCGCCTTCTTGAGGTCGACAGGCGGCAGTGCATCAAGCTGGACCAGGCGCTTGATGCCGAACAAAATGGCAGTCGGCAGGTACGCATTTCCAGGCTTGACAGCTCGCATGGTCATCTTCCAGAGGTTTAGGCTGGAGACACCAATCTCATGGTCAAGATCGTGATTCTTCTCAATGTAGCGTCGATCTCGGGCAAGGCCCTTGACTTCCATTGCAAGTATACGCTCGACGATATCGAGGTCAAGCAACTCAGTCTTGGAGATGGCGGGTTCGTCTTTCTTTTCAATTCCGAGAAGCTCCTGCAAAATTGGACTGATGTGATCTTTTGCAACGGCTTCGACAAGGTGAACGTAGACGGGCCCTCCATCGACGGCGTTAGTAATGATGTTGATGGAATCAAGAAGCGCAGTGAGACCCTTCTCCCAGGTGACTCTGCTCGCATAGTTCGAATACCGTTCTTCCTGGTACTTGTGCAACAGCTGATTCAGAAGAGTTCGAAGAGGTGGTACAAGATTGGCCGGCTTGATGCTGTGAATGATTGCGTCAACCCAGCCCATCTTCTCTTCTAGCCGCAGAGGTTCGCGCTCATCGCGTGTGGTGAGAAGTGTCTCGAATCCGGGTGCTCTACAGATTGCCTCAATCACGTTCTGTGGTGTGGCCGATCCCACTGCCTCCCAGAAATCTCCCGCGCCCACTTGGATGAGTTTCTGGACACTGGCGAGCAAATCCGTAAAGTGTGGAGCGTCGATCTGGAAGTGATCAAGCGCCATGACGAAGAAATTGGTGTCGAGCGCTCGAAGGCCCTCGTCCATAGCGGTCTTGTCCAAACTGTCGACAATGAGTTTGGTCGCTCGCCAATATTGGGGTAAATAGACGAGGTCCAGCGAGATGACGTGAACCTTGGCCATGGCGGGTTCCAAGAAAGGCTTCACAGCATACTCGAACTCTTCCTTGAAGAGCGGACGCTTGATTCTGTTGACGTTACGTTCTGCCCAATTTCTGCGCTCTTCGTTGGCGGAGTACATAAAGGCAATCATGCCGGGCGCATAATTTGGGAGATTGACTTTCTTCTTGGTCTGCACGAGCCGGAAGGGCTGATCAAAGTGTTTGGCGAGGAGCTCCTCATGACGTAGAAAGGGAATACAATGGAGCGCTTCGAACATGGCATACATGCCGACATCGCCCACTGCAGTGATCTTGCGTTCTTCGGGAGGCATGTCCAGTAAAGCCTCGGTCATGTCGTCGAGGCCGGCAGTGATACGCTCACTGTTCATGGCGTCGAAGGTCTGCATGAACAAAAGAACATCTTCTGGTGAGTAGTCGGATTCCAATTGATTACGCAGGCGCCGTCGAGCACGATGGAATTCGCGCACGCAAATGTCGCAGCGCGTGAGTTGTTTGGAGAGGCAGTGCTTCAGCTTGGCCTGATATGGCTCTGCATCCGGTCCGTTGAAGGCCAGCAATATGCAGGTCTCCATTGCATCGTCTTGCCTGCCTCTGGCTTCTTGTATCTTTTCCATGCGTTCCGCCTTTTCCTGGCTGCTTTCTGACGCCGCATCTCCCAGGTCCTCGTCGAAAAAGTGCCCGCCATCGTCATCCTTCTGGCGCGGACAGAACCAGTGCACGCCAGCATCGAGGTTGGCAAGGGTCTCGAGCAGGCCAACTAGTCTCTCGCCTCCCGCCATGATGGCTGTGTCGCGGCGAGGGCGAGGCACTCAGCAATGCGGCGGCGGGCACACACAGAAGCACGCGCGCCCGCCCGCTACCTGCACTCCAGCGAGCAATCTGATATAGGCACAGCAGTTGATGTTCAGACTCGATTGGGTAAAGACGGTGTTTGGTAGACGGTAGTTCAAGGTGATGACGGCGTCGTTTCGCTTCGCTAGAATCGGTGACGGTCGAGGTGAATGTGTAAGAGGCAAAGAGCGGCAGGCGCAAAGGGATGACTTGAATAGGGCCGCTGAGAGTGAGCAAGTGAAGCAGAGGCGGAGGCAGAGGCAGTCGTCGAGATGCGGCAGTCCCGTGGCAGATCGAAATAATTAGTTCTGCATCGAGTGAAGTGTCGAGCTGGTGCTGGTGCTGGTGTTGGTGCTGGTGTTGGTTCAGGCGACGTTCATGTGCTGAGACTAAATGCAGGAATGGAAGAATGGAAGACCGCATGCACCAAACGCCGTCCACTGCATATGCGCGTTCAATGGCAAGTCGTGACTGTGAGTGAAATGCTGGCAGCTGGTTGCCGCTCTGTCGTCAATGGATGTCGCGTAAGGCGCGTCAGCGGCTTCACCCGCAACTCAAATTGGCTGGCCTCGTTTCGTTGCCAACTCCAAGTTCAACTTTCCAACAACCATATACTGCATCTGCTCCAGCTATACTGCCCCTACCCCACCCCATATCGGAACCCGGCGGCAGATTGGATACACAGCTATGCTTCGATCTATCCGTTGAGAGCCGACATTGCCTTTGGGTATCTTCTCAACACGGGCTTCCATGCTCCAGTCCATAAGCAAATGTCTCAGGACCTCTTCGCCGCCTTCGGGGAGGCTCTAACTATATCAGAACCAGCAACATCGAATGGCGCTGATCAAAACTCTGGAGCTACCGGGTCTGAGCTTCTCCATGCTCAATTCAGAGCCGTGCCCAATTCAAGCTCCCAGCCAACTGAAACGTTGTCGACTATCGAAGCCGACGAAGATGACTTTGGAGATTTCGAAGATGCTTCTCTCGCTGTACCCACAGAGTCGGACACTGCCCCGAAAGCGGAATCTGCAAGGCTGGAAAGCGTGACTATACCTCCTCGTATGCCTCCCACGAAAGGCTCATCGAGTCCTTTCCCTCCCAAGGCACAGAAGCGGGAAGAGGTTTCGAAGGCAAATGCAGGTCCTCAAGTAGGCAGACATCCCTTTGCAGATCACATGGACTTTCTATTCTCCGGTGGGGACGACGAATACGACGCTGGTGACGATGATTTGGAAGATCTGAGCAAGAACCCCGAAGCCGCCATGGCGTATTCGAAACGTATGATCGCCGAGCAGCAAGTACAGACGGGAAATGTCAAACGGCTCCCTTTTGCGCCCAAGAGCCGGACTATAGCTCCCGTTCATGCTCCAGCTGCACCGAATCCCTCGCCAGCCAGGAACAAGCTACAGAAGAAATCAGGATACGTGCCGACCAAGGACCCGAATGTGCTATTCGATGTTGAGAATATCTCTGAGCATGAGAGCGATAACGATGCTGATTTTGGCGACTTTGAAGACGCGCCCCATGCAAAAACCGAAGTGACACCATCACCAAAACCTTCACCCGCCAAACTGCAGAAAAAATCAGGTCCGCCGACCGCCAAAACTCAGAAAGCCACATCAAAACCCTCGATGCCTGCAATCGATCTGCTTGGGCTATCCGATCCAGTGCTATCGCCAACTGTGAATTTCCAGCAGCGGCATATAACACAGAACAGTATCATGAGCCCTCGCTCCGAACGAGTAGAGTCCATTCTCGGAGCATCGAAAGCAGACTCGATGACCAGACCGCCCACAGCAGGGAGTCTCTGGTCAGCAGATGATGAAGCTTGGGATGATTTTGATACTCAAGAAGATGAATCAGGACCTGTAGCGCACCACAGCCATAGCCGGACAGCATCATCTTCCATATTACCATCAAACCTCACACCTACAACTGGTCGGAGCAGATCTGGAACACAGGACGCTCTACCACCCACCAATGTCCCGCCTCCTGCGATCTTACTTTCCATCTTTCCCTCGACCTTTGCTGCCGCCCAAGACGCCCTCCTTGGAAATCTTTCAAGACTGGACACATCTCAGCGACAGCAACTACTCGGCCACCCAGCAACCCATCAGTTCCTCAAAGGATATCTCCAAAATAGTATTGTACTGGCCCATATTGTTGCAGGTCGCAAGTTGCGTTGGAAGCGGGATCAAATCCTATCTCAGTCCATGCGCATTGGACCTGCTGCAGCGGGAGGCAAGGGTGGTATGAAGCTCAACAGCATCGACAAATCTGAACAGACCAAGGAGGATCGTGAAGTGACCGATGTAGTGGGACAATGGAAAGCGCAACTGGGCAAGCTCAGAACTGCCGTCACTGGTGCTAGTGCAAGTGCAAGCAGCACTTCAAAGCTGCCTGCTGTGCCAGATATTTCCGAAACTATGGCCGTGAAGACATTGAAAGCCTTGGAAGGTGGCTTCACAGCGCCACATGCGTGTGCCCTATGCGGACTGAAGCGGGACGAACGTGTGTTCAAAGTCGACGTCGATGTTGACGACAGCTTTGGAGAATGGTGGATTAATGGAATGGATATGCATGTCAGCTGTAAGAAATGGTGGGATGAGAATAAGGATAAGCTGAAATCTAGATGAGGTCGAGACTCATTCGCCCTCTATATGACATGCTGCCTCAGTTGCAATCTCTTCACTATGTCTCTGACCTCAGTCACATCCTCTTGCAACGAATCGATAATCTCGCCCCATACTTCTGCAACATCTCTTTGTCAACGGCACTCAGCTGCAGCACTCTTCTGAAGCCTGGAACAGCTTTCGGCTGTCCGAGTGCCACAACCGTCTTCTTTTCGTCTATAACTTTGATTTCTCGTTTGAAACCAGCTGTCTCAGCCTGTGCATTCGAGAAGATGTCAATTCGAAAACTTCTGGAAGCTGCGTAGCTGCCTATGTTTTGCCATCCATGAGCTCTACAAGACCAGGAGCTGCAGTGAACGCTATGGCCATGCCACTTGATGGAGTTAGCTGTACAGTCTCGAAAGTAGATCTTCCTCGCACGGGGACCTAGCTTACTGTCCATTATGACCAGCACATATAAATTGTCCTCTTTTGCCAGGTATCTCTCCTACCAGAGGCATCCCATCTGGAGTCTGTAGAAATGTGAGGGGCCGGTTCTAGATGCGTAGCTGATTTTCACTTACCATTGCTATTATTCCACTCCAGCTTTCACGATGGAGCTTCTCACGAGCGTCGGGGTTCTGAGACCATCCCATCAGATGGTTTGCGGCGAAAGATTTAGCAGCATCTGTCACTGCCTCGAAACCCAGCAATCCATCATCAACACATCTCGCAGGATGCTTCCGAAGCCATTTTGCAAGCTCGATTTGACCTGGATTGCTTCCACCAAACAAAACTGGACCGGCAGTCGTGCTCCGTGGATTTATACTATAGAAGACTCCGTTCCCGCAAAGAATGCCGAATGAATGCTGCGCTGCGTTGTTGCGCAAGAAGCCTGCTGGCGGATCAAAGGCATCGCACATGTGTGGTTGTGGTCTTATGATGTTGTACATGCTTGGCTCAATGGCGGAGCTGTATGCGTTCGTTGCGTGGACAACCTGAGAGCATGCTATATCGCCTCGCTCAGTTTTGACTATCCAGATGTTCTCATTCCGGGGATCTTTCGAGATTTCGACCGCTTTCGTGTGGGTCTGAAGATTCACGCCGTTTGAGATGTTACGGCGCATGATGTGAGCCACCAGCTTCCATGGATACAGCGTTGAGGCTTTCCAAGCGTAACATGCCAAAGCACCCTTGACGCCACTGATCTGGTCTTCAAATCAGTTCTGCTCTGCAATGTACAATCAAGCCTACCTTTTCTGCTTCTCCCGGATCGGATGTGACCCGCACATGCTGAAGTCGACTGCCGACCGCTTTCAAAGAATCATACGTACGCGCCGCTGTTTCTGCGGCTTCGGTGGTCACAGGCACATCGAAGGTGTCCCCGACGAACAGGTCACAATCTACGTTGTTCTCACGCACGTACTCCACGATGCTTGACCACGTCCGCTGCTCGTTCTCCATGATCTGCACAACATGGCCATCAGAAATCATTTATGAGTCCAGCATCATTGAATGGAAATTACCTTGAGAGCTTGCTCCGTTCCAAAGGTTTGTTGAAAGCTAGAGAATCCTCGCCATTGATCTGGCTTGCAATGGCCGGCATTGCGTCCCGTCGCGCCAGAGCAGAAGTCGCGAGCTTCAAGAACAACGACACTCTTCTCCGGCCATCTTTCGATGCAGTGCTTGGCGGTCACAGTGCCAGATATGCCTGAGCCAACAATCACGATATCGGCTTGACCTGGGAGTAGGTGCGTCGTGCGATGTCTTAAAAGCGGATCGCCTTGCACGCCTCGTAGCCAGTATGATACTGATGCACCTTCATCTTTTGGAAAACCTGATGGTGGTGGTGGAGGTGGTGGATGTGGACTGGATGAACCTTCCTTGATCGCTGGAGGTGCTGGTGCTACCGGCATCGCTGGGATGATTCTGCTCGTGGCATAAGTATGCTCGTGGCGTACATAGACACAGCTGCACGAATCGGCGTCATGGTCATTATATCAATACAGCACTTCTGACCGCAGCGACAACAACGCAATCTTTGCCCCTTCAAGTTCTTTTCAATATATCTTTTTATATAGAGGAGTTGTAGCTTAATAATATAGAGCAAAGATACTCTAACTTGTATCTATTTTTAGAAAATAATAAAGTTTCTAGTCGTTACCTATTAAATTTATAGGCTATATAGCCTAAAATTCTAATTTAGAAGTTTAACAATTTTAGTATTTTTTTCCGCCTTAGTATACTATTTTTAGTAATCTAAAATCTAGATCTTATAGTTTTATCTTATCAAAATCTAGATTTAAATTTATATATTAGTATAGAAACTATTAGTAATATAATCTAGAAAGGAATATTATTTTCTTACTATATTCTCTTTAGTTTATCTTTTTATTTAGAAGAGCTATAGCTTAGTAATATAAAACAATGTGAGAAGGGTTATGTTAGCAGGTAGATAGGGTAGTAGTAAATTAGTATAGTATTCGATAGAGATCTAAGAGGAGAGGGAGGAAGGCAGGCAAGTTAGCCTAACGCTAAGCGCTAAGCCCTACCTAAGGCACTAAGACCCTAGCTTTACTCGAGCCTAGTTATATGCCAATTACGTGTAACCTCGTTGGTCCTAATACACGCTTCCCTTCTAAAGGCCGCGCCCTCGTAGCTAGTCTTTATTCTAACCTCTATCGCTACTAACTTAGTAGGTCTAATAAGCTACTCGATCTGCGCTAAATTGAATACGCAACCTTCGATTATATAACTATATTAAACCTTACCTCTAATATAATACAATGTCTAACTCTAACTGCGCTATCCTTATATATAATAAAGTAATATATAACTATAAGAATTAAGGACTATCGACTAATTATAATACGAGCGCACCTTCCCTACTATAATAGGTAGGTATACGGGGTATTATAGTACTGCCCCCGTTCTAAGTAATGTCGTACCGAGTTCTCTGCGTCTACTCTTAAAAGACCTAGAAATGTCTGCTTCTAAGGGTTGTCCGCTTCCGAGGGTTATTATTCTTATTATTATAAGGACTATTATTTACTATCGTAGTTTTACTAGCTCTAATTAGTTAGGTTTAGTAGCCTTTAATTATTAATCTTATCTTATCTTTTAAAAAACACAGCTCGTCTAGTTTCTATAGGTAAAGGCTATTATAACTTGCCGAGGTCGTCTTTTAGAACTATAGGAACATAGTAGGCCCTATAGGTTAAGTGCCGAGCGTTATTAAACTAAGCAAGGGTTAGTATATTAGTTCTAGGCAATTGTCGGAGGTCTAATTGCTTAGCTAGGCGGTAATTAATAAGGGTACTAACTAAATTTCCTAGATCTAGTATAACCTTAGTTTAATAGTTAGTTCTATACGTATCCTATATAAGACAGGTGCGTATAATAGCTAGCACAATGTCGATGGTTTTACGCCGTATAAGGCTAACAGTTAGTACGGCGCTTATTCTTTTTTCGAAGGTTAGCCTATAGGGGTAGCGTTAGCTACTAAGAGGTGCTTTCGGTACTTAGCGGTAGCACGGTCGATTCGGGCCTAGTCCTTAGGTTTGTCGTATTAGCCTAGGAGATAGCTAGTGCTATTATTGTTAAAGCACTTCAACCCGGTTAGGGGATTGCTATAGCCGCTATTGCTACTATTATTAGTTAAGCGATTAGTATTATAGGGATACGAGCCTCTTCTACGGCCCCTATTACGGCCTCCTCTATATAGCCGTCGGCTACGGCCTCTTCTACGGTCGTTGTTACTATTCCTATTATTAGTATTATTGTTCTAGTAGGAACCTTAGTTTCCTCCGCGGCTACGATAGGTAGCTAGGCGTATCTTAGATTCTAACTGTTATTAGAGCTAAACAGCTCGTTTAGCTGTTTCTACTTCGACTATAAACTAAATGCGTGTTAGATTAGCCTATTTAAACACACGGCGGCGGTCTAATTTAAGGACTAATTCCTATCTTAGTTTAGGTCGTATCTTAGATATCTAGATAGAGTCGGTCTTAGGTAGCAAATCGTCCTTAAGGGTCTTTAGGTAGGCCTCGAAGGATCGGGAGGTCTAGTCGGCCTTTTGTTTAGCACGTAGGTATTAGTCTTAGGCGTGCTGCTAGCGCAATATAGGGTTACTAAGGGTGTTTAGCATAATAGTCTTATAGTCTTGCTACTAAATAGCGGTCTAATTATTAAGGGAGTTAAAATAGTTATCCTAGGTACGCTTTAGGTCGCTATTAATGTACTATATAGCATAAACAACTAGGGAGTAGTCGTCTAGTAGCGCTCTTAGTGCGTTACGCTAGTTAAGTTTATAGTTACGAATATAGTCGTTATACTACTTCCGACTAGAGCTATTAAATACAGTATAATCCTTAAGCTTCGCATCCTTCTTCTATACGGAAGGTCCTACTACTAGTTCTAGTTTAGTAGTAGTTGTTAGGGCTTCCTATAGGCGGCGAATCTCGAGGAGATTATCCTTTAGCTATTGTTCCTAACGCAAGGCAGCGAGCTTGTTTTAGGTAGCTTCTTAAAGTCTCGCTACTAGCTAGGGCCCGAAGGCTAGTTAGCTATATCGATAGTTAATAATATTACTAAGAATGTTGTTAACGGGCAACGATAGGTTATCCCCTTCGATTATAGGTTCTTTAGTAGGCCCTCTAGTAGGCTCTTTAGCAGGCACCTTAGTAGGAGGCACTTTAGTAGGCACTTTAGCAGGCACTGTACTACTAGAGTTGTTATTACTAGCGCTGCTAGTAGCGCCGCGGTTGTTGTTTTGTAATAAACTAGCTATTATAAGGGGCGACACTAATAATATATTATTAGCCCCTAAGATACAGATATAGCGGAATTAGTAGATATCGGCTTAGTGCGATTAACTTAGTATAATAGGCCGTACAGAAGGCCTTGCTTAATAATTAGTACGGTTGTTTTAATAGAATAGTACGTATAGGTCCTATTCTTCGGGCGTAATATAGTTAAATCGATAGTTTTCGTAGCTATACCGCTAAAAGCTTGAAATAAGGACTATCTAGCTACTGCCCTTAAAGGGTAGATCGAATACTATATAAGAAGGGTTATGTTAGCAGGTAGATAGGGTAGTAGTAAATTAGTATAGTATTCGATAGAGATCTAAGAGGAGAGGGAGGAAGGTAGGCAAGTTAGCCTAACGCTAAGCGCTAAGCCCTACCTAAGGCACTAAGACCCTAGCTTCACTCGAGCCTAGTTACATACTAATTACGTATAACCTCGTTAGTCCTAACAAATAAATATACTTTAACTTTTATATATTTTTAGAAAATAACTAAAACTATTATAGCTATCTACTAAGATTAGCCCTAAACTCTTAAATAAAGATTTTAAGATTTTAGTATTTATTAAGCCCTAGCTAGTCTAAAACCTAAGACCTAAAAGTTTTACCTAGTGTAGGTATAGGTTGAGATTCTTATTTTAATACGCTTGCTATTACTAGTCTTAGAATCCTAAAGCGAATATTCTTAAGAATTGTAGGCTTAGTAGTTTAAAGTTTGTAATTCTTAAGAATATTCTTTTCTAGGTTATAAGACTATTTATAACCTAGTTAAAGTAAAAGCTCTAATATAGATTCCTACTAGGTAAAACTATTCAAGTTAGGTTTAGGTTTTGAATTACTAAAAATAGTATACTAAGGCTTAAAAAACGTAAAAGTCTTAAAACCCTTTTTTTAGAATTTTAGGCTTATCTTAGTAGACAAATATAGTAGCCCTAGCAATTTTCTAATACTAGATTAAAAATAGAGCATTTTTGTCTTATATTACTAGGCTATAACTCGTCTAAAGAAAAAGATATACGAACAAGAATCTAAGAAGAATTTAAGGTTTAAATTCTAGATTATATAACTAATAGTAGCTATATTAAGAGAAAGATTTTAAAATAGATTTTTGTTAGGTAAAACTATAAGGTCTAGGTTTTAGATTACGAAAATTGTATATTAAGACTTAAGAAAACGCTAAAATTCTAAAATCTCTAACTTAGAATTTTAAGCTATATAGCTTATTAATTTAGGAGGCAGCGACTAGAAATTTTGTTATTTTCTAAAAATTTGCATAAATTAAAGTATATTTGTCCTATATAACTAAGCTATAACTCCTCGGGATAGAAAGATATATTAGAAAGAACTTATAGGGGCAAAGATTGCGCTGTGAATTCTTTATTGACAATCTGGTATGTATGGAGCTCCGTCGCATCGCCACAACGGCCAATAATGTCCCGCGACTTCACCTTCATCAGGATCATCGCGACACCATCATCGCTGCACCTCTCCTGCCAATGACAATGCCGATTTTGCAGCTTGCAACGCGCTCGACATCAATCCCGCCTGACGCCAAGCAGATCCCTTCCGCGAGTACCGTATCTACGAGAAGGAAGCATTCGCTGGATAAGAGTCGTTATGAAGCTGGAAGTCCATGATTCTGCTTTCGGAAGACTCGGACTCGCCAGCGATAGAATTGCCGAGGAAACAAAAGGGAAATTCTCAAGCATGGCAGAGCTCCAAGAGCTCCATACCATGGTCCATCCATGTTTACTGTACGTATCGGCTTTATTGCCTCTACTGTGCTCCTATATTGGTGGTCAAGTCCGTCAATACGGTAATCCGAGCGTCTCGAGAGTCTTCCTGTGTCTATGCCATCTTCCGCGCAGATTTGCTGATGTCGAAGACTTCTATTGCGACGGGAATGGGATAGCCGGACAGCAGCCTGAGACCGCGGAGAAGATCGTCTACAGAGCCTCTTTTCGATTTGAACATCGCAACCGGCAAAGAACCTGTCACCTCGCCAGATGCAACAATTTATAGTTCCGTCGGAGTGGTAGACTCAAGAACTGTTAAGAATGAGGTCATCGGTGTTTCTGTGCCTCAAGTCTGTCACATTCTTGACCTCGAGTCGACCCGTACACTGGATCAAAAGAAAGCGATTGCAACGGAAACAGCAGTAATCAGGGACTAGATGGTGCTCGACAAGAACACGACTCAGAGATATCCAGAGATTGTGGACCATGACTGGGGCTGAGGCGCTTAGCAGAAATATGGAGAGCAGGAGCAGCGGGCAATGGAACACAACGCCAAGGCTCGAAGATACCTAGCACCTGTCTATCTAGTGACTTTAGCAGATCTCGCTGGCTGCTAGACAATACGTTGAGCTCACGTCAAGATTCCCGAAGAAGCTTTGACTGACAGTACTTGCTTGTAGGAATCGTGCGACAATATCAAAGCACAATGGAGGAAGCAGAGCGGAGCCAAGGATTCAACCACAATTCTGGGTCTGCAATACCCAAACTGACCGATGGAATCCGAACCATCTTTGAACGTCATTGAACGCGGGAGATAGGAGCCCAACAGACCATGCTGTCGCTAAGCCGTCTAAAAGGGAGTGCTACCGTGGCGCACTAGGGCCCGGCATGCTACAGGAGCCTCATCAAAAGCTGCAGCCTCTATGCTCGCAAAATCGCACGAATGTATCGGCGGTCGCTTACAGTTCCCTCGATGCAGCCCACGCCTGCCTACGACACGATTCTTGTGCAGACACCGATCTGCGTAGCTTTGCATACCGATGGATTTTGTGCCGATGATAACCTTCACGCCGCTTACTGCTGCGGTTTGTCTGCAAGAAACCGCTGCTCATAATTGACGAACTCTCTCGTACCGTTACAAGGCTCCAAGTTGGATGTGGAAACGGGTCATTCTGGCGTGGCAACCAAGGACCATGGAGCCTCAGCTTCCGCATCCAGGCGCAGCACACTTTGATCAGCCGTGACATCAAGACCAGGTTCCTCGTGGAACATGTGTATATCTCTCGGGTGGCCCCGCTGCTTTCGCGCGCTACGGCATTCATACCGAGCTTGGAACGACACCTGAAAAGTAGTCTTCGTTGCGTGGAACCAACCTCAAGCGACAATCAATGAATAAGATTCGCTTGCTCGAGTCCGCTCAAGTCTACTGGCAATGATAAAGCGGGGAATGGACATCCTGCCCAAATTACCCAGACCGTACCATAAGATCTTCGCGCGAGTGGCAGATATATGATATGACAGTTTCGAATGTGCCGAGAAGCCTTGTCATGGCTGCTGTCCTCCGGCTCGACATCTTGCGCACGGCGAACGGAGAGAATCTCGGATTCTGCCAGTTATCTATCGTCGCTACGAAGTCCGGTGAATGTCTGGCAAGGTCAGGTCAAACATCTACGCGACCGTTGGTGGCGTGCGGAGTAATGATAGGACTGTAGGGGGCACGATGAAGTCAGTGCTCTTTCTGCAGCTGTCGAACACTATCTCAGAGCTCCACATACAATTTGCAGCATCTGCATGACCTTTATCGCTACTGCAAAATGGCGAGTAGAGAAGAGCTCGCAAGGATATCGATTAGTCGACCGAAGAACGCCGTAAACGAAGGAGCGAGCTTGAATGCATGCTTGTCAATACCCGCCATTGTGCAGTACTTTGCGTAGACACAACGCACGCTGGCTTCTAACAGCAGCGACCTACATGGTGCAACGCCAGCACATTGACCAATGCAAGAGCGAAACAGCCATCAATCTCGTATGGTACCCAATTTCGAAGACGCCATGGGCACACACTTGGCATTATGCGAGCACTGAGTCCTGGCCTACGATCTACATGTAGTCATGGTAGCGAATCAGTATGCAATACAGGAAGATGGAGGTCAGCAATTGTAGCTCTGATTCAAAAGCAACGACGAGGTCTGATCATCTAATTCTCTCCGATCGCTCGTGCATGTCTGGTTGTACAGACCCGCTATCTGTACCTCATCATGCAAGCATCGATTCTCCACCGCGGCCCGAAATTGTTAATCCTAGACGCCGGGTGTTGTTTCTCGGTCTGGTCCGATTGTACGAGCAGATCAAAGAACGTCATTGAGAGCATCCGTCTCTGATCAAACACTGCATGAAAGAACACTTCCCCACGTCTCCTCTTCGACTTAATCTAAGAGTCGGCAGTGGAACATCAAACAACTAGGCTCTCGGCACGTCAGCACGACCTTACTCGTCGATATCCTCCACTTCGACTGTCACACTTTGCTTGTCTCATTAGGCTGCTCGCAGTTCAAGTCCAATTTGCTGCTCTCATCGTGATGCAATGGTAAGCACGACCATTCAGGCATCAATGCGCACGCAGCTCAATGATTATGAGGCTTGCTGTCACTAGCAGGCAGGTAGCAGGTACCGAAAGTCCCAAATGGCATATATTGCCGTGATCTTGCCCTCGTGGTCCATGGCAGCATCGAACACAACGCACGCCTGCATCGTACATACTCGTACAGCGGTTACTTCAGGTTTTCAAAGCGCACAAGAATCTCAGCACGCCTGCCCGAGTAGATATAACCACAACGAGCAAGTTCACCACAATGGAAGACAAGCTATCCTTTGGTAGGCCAATGGCGGGCATCTTCCAACCTCGCGAGCATGCGAAGCAATCGCCAGCACGCAACCATTTCGTTGCGGCGACGGGAGTAAGTTATGATCGATGCTTTACAATGATCAGAGGCTGATGTGATTGTTAGGAATTTGTGGGAACGTTTATGTTCCTCTTCTTTGCATACCTAGGACACAGCATGTCTGTGGCAACGGCATCTGATACGAGCAGGATTGGCACCAACAGCAATTCAACCATCATTTACATCTCCATGAGCTATGGACTGTCGTTGCTCGTTACTGCCTGGGCACTCTATCGAGTATCAGGAGGCCTTTTCAATCCTGCTGTGACACTCGGCCTTGTTATCACAGGCCAGCTGCCCGCAGTCAGAGGTGCCATCTTCTTTCCCACACAGATTATAGGTGGCATCGCCGCAGCTGCAGTAGCAAGTGCAATCATTCCAGGAGACATAGCAGTCACCCAAACAACCCTTGCCAACGGCATGAACCAAGCGCAAGGAGTCTTTCTAGAAATGGTCAGTATCTAGCTCATGAGGTTTCGAACTGTTTTCTGACGTTCGATCAGTTCTTGACAGCCTACCTGGTCTTCGTCATCCTCATGCTGGCGGCCGAGAAGTCCAAAGCAACGTTCATCGCACCAATTGGCATCGGAATGGCCCTCTTCGTCGCGCAGATCGCAGGCGTCTACTATACCGGAGCTTCACTCAACCCAGCTCGCAGCTTCGGTCCATGTGTCGCTGCGGCAAAGTTTCAAGGATACCACTGGATCTACTGGATCGGACCCTTTCTCGGAGCCATTATTGCCGGCGGCTACTTCCACTTCGTCAAGTTCTTCAACTACTATGAAGCCAATCCCGGACAAGACAGCGCTGGAGGCGCTTTTGCCGATGACATCAATGTGTCTGTACGCGAGCGACAACGAATTCCAAGTTCTTCCACCGCCTAGAATTCTACAAACGTTCCTTTCCAACAGCACGCTGCTGTCCCGCAGTGGTGGTTTGCGGCATCGCCGTAGGATACACATCCGATGATCGAAGGAAGCGCCGGGGGGTTTGATGAACGGCGTAGATGGCTACTGTCAGCAAACCTGCTTCGGCTAGGACTTGCATACTTGTGTAATATAGGTATCTCTGGGAAGATGAATTCATCTTCAGTCTTCCATAATGAAAGCGCCATTCGTTGACGACATGAAGAAAGTTCTCCCGCAACAAAAACAATGGGAGGATTTCTGCACAAGTCCTGGCACAAGGTAGGCAACATCCTTGAACGGTGAACGCACCACAATCACGATACCTTAATAATGATGAAACGGTGGTCACCCTCGCCCATATAGGCTTTTGTGAAGACTGGTGTGAGTTTTGGTGAACCGCATCTCAAGGAGACTCTTCACAAGGACATGATACCATCACCTTTTCTAAAAAAAAACATCATAGGTACAGCAGACTTACACAGTGAACAACGATCTAACACAGTATTTCAACGCCAACACTTTCCACCCATTCTATCCTCCACACACACACACACACACACACACAAAACCCGCAACCACAACAATCAATCAATCAATCAACCACACAGATTCATTCCTCAACGCCAAAAAAAAATGCCAAATCCAAATTCAGGACCAAAACCCGGCTCCCAAGGCCCATGTCGCCCGCCGCCTTCGAATCCAGGTGGAGGAGGTAATAAGCCACCGAAGAAGGGTCGATAGAGCATTGGCGCAACGACTACTTCACGAATGAGACTGCAGAGACGAAGACTGGACCCGACCGAGGTCATTCATGGAGTGAGTTACCTTACTGCAATGAAGGAAGCATTAGGGGGGTGTAGGTAGTTGAAATCACTTTTTCGGAAAGAGCTAGCTAGCAAACTTTCTTGCACCAGTTTCCTTGAGATTCATGCTTTTGACTAGGAGGGTGTGCCTTGAGTGATCATGGATGAGATTATGGTGAGTGCTCCTCAAACAAAGAGTCTGCTCGATTAAGCTATTTCCACAGCAAGGCGTGATCTTAAAGTACTTGCTTCCCTTTGCGATTCACGTCTGCATTGGCGAGAGTTTCGCCGTCAGCAGCATTCAAGACGCATCATCGATTTCTCCGAGCCATCTCAACAGTGTTGAACTTGGGTCATCGGAAAATGACAACTGCTGTTGTATTCTTTTCCGATCGTCGCTGCACTTGATTCCGCCATTCTTGACCTTCTATGACTCCTATGGGCTCTGCATTTGTCTCTGATACTGATTAGTGTGGAACCCTCCGTGGGATTCCTGTCCAGAGGAGTGTTCAGTCCATGTCATTGACCCACTCTCCAGCTTCAGTCTCGGTTGTCTCCAAGTCGGGGTTAGTCGGCGGGCCATGCGAAGCTCCAGCGGCAGCTTGTGCGCTCGGTTGGCTGGGCCCATTGCCGTTCGCTCCTGGCGGATTTGGCGGAGCTGCGAATGGAGCAGGAGGACCAGGTGGGCCTAGGAAAGCGCTGAGCTGATTCATGATCGCATTGATTGCTGCTGGAGGTCCATTACCACCAGGTCCACCGCCAGCACCGATTGGCAATGTCACCACACCACCGTTTGGAAGACCAGGAATGTTCAGTAGGTTGCCAAGATCCATGTCCGAGTCGAACATGTCCCCTAGATTGCACTGTTCAACGAAGGTTGGCAATTGGGCCTCGATCTCTTCTCTGCTAGAAAGGCAGACGTAATATCCTCCTGAGGGTCAGCATAAAGCCATACTCATCTGCTAGCGATGTCTTACCTCGCTCATGGTCCGAGTCTCTACCCGGCGCTTTGTAATCTTTGCCAGTGTACTCCAGACACTTCTTTGTCGTATCTGGTGCGATATCACTCCCTTTTGGTTGTGCCTTCGAGATTTCTGGTCCTTCAGAAGCATCCTGGGCAATCAGATCTGGAGGTTCATCGTCGAGCTCATCTTCTTCCTCTGTCCAGTTACCGTCTTCGTTGTCTCCGAAAGGTCCAGTTCCGAAGAACGGATCGAGTGCCGGCTCTCCATCAGCCTTATCACTCTCCTCGAGCTGTGGGAGGAAGTAGACCTTTTGCATGCCTTGCTGCAAGAATTGAAGATGGAGATGATTGACCGCCGGAAGCTGGCCTACTGCCTTGAGGATGCTCACCCAACTTCCTCTTGTCAAGTCGATTGCATGGAAGGTCAACTTCTCGACTGAGGTAAGACGACAGATGATGGAGCCCAGAGTCTTCGCTTCGATACAGAGATTCTCGAGCGAAAGACTGGCCAGCAATTCGAGATCAAGCGATGCCGTGATCGCTTTGCAAATTGGACCGGTGCGCTCAAGATAGTCGAATTCGAGACGAGCTGAATGCGCCGCTTCCAGAACAGCGGAGAAAGACTTGGCATACTTGTATGCTCTCGCGTAGTCCTTTTCCGTATCGTTTCTTCTAGAGCGCAAAGACTGGCTTCGCAACTGGAGGGAGAAGCTCTCGAGGTTGGTGAAGCACTGTGCAAGCTTGTCAAGCACTTCTTGCTTGAGACGTAAATCAGAAGTGGGTGAGATTCCTGTCAAAAAGTCAGCTTCGCTTGGGTTGGGATGGCGAAAGCAACAGCTGGCTCAAGTGACTGCTTACCGTGCAACTGATTCTTGAAGTTGGTCTCGAGAGCACGAATGGATTCAATGCCACTGTTCGCGACTGCTGTCATGACGGTCTGGAAGACATGAGTCAACCAGGGGAAGTACTCGATGTTGACAGACTCGGTGATGGGTGCAAAAGATGGCGATTTGTTGGTGGTGCGCATGACCTTGTTATATCCGTAACACTCGGCGGTCTTGTTGGCGAGCGTGCTGAGCTGGTCGATGAATGTCAATGCCTTCAGGGACGGGAGTGATTTGAACGCGTCGGTCAACAGCTTGAGGTCACCTTTCGTCTTTCGCAGTCGTTCTTGATCATGCACATAATCGGTGTATGCTTCGCGCTGTCTGGTCGTCGGCTGCCAGGAACAGCAGCATGACGCGTGGGAGCAGTCTAGGGCGCGGCGAGGGAAGCTGGCGGTGATGAAGTAGACATGGCGCAAGTGCCGGCGCAACTTGTCGCTGGTCGAAATGTTCAGGAGACACGTGAGAGATGCAGTGGTGAACATGAAGCATTTCTCCTCGAAATACCTGATCCATGTCAGCACGAAAGGCCGCCACGCCGAGACTCTCTCTCGACGAGATGCTGCCTATTTACTCTTTTGCGAAGTCATACAAGACGCTCGCCTCGATGGCTTTGCAGGTGAGGCGTAGAGAGCCCAGGTCGTCCGAGCCGAGCTTGACGGCGATGTTTGCCAGCAATTCTTCAGGCAGACTCGCCAACATCGAGTTCGCGTTCACGCCGGCGGTGGGCGCAGGCAGCGGCACTGATCCTGATCCTGATCCTGATCCTGATCCTGATCCTGATCCTGATCCTGACCCTGATCCCGATGCTGTCGCCGGCGCCATGGTCGACACGTGCGCGTTTGCAGTGTCAGGATGTCGGGTGTTTTCCTCTGGACGAGCGTGTCTGTCACGAGCGAGTTCGCTTAAAGTGGCGGTCTTGCCCAACAAAGTCACAAGTGACAGCACGGAGTCCACTGCGTCACGACAGCTCTCATGTATGCATACCAACGATGCTTTCTGATGAAGGTCGACACTCGATATCACAAGCTGATGACACGCCATACGGCCCTTCATACATTATACAATGAGATATATTTAGATAGATGCCTTGGTGCCTTGGCGCTTCCGTTTGTGGACTGGCGAATCAAAGCCTGGTATCGTAGCCACAGGTGGCAGTGGCAGAATGTGGCACCGAGGCACAGTTGGACTGCTATGAGAGTGCTGCCAGATCGATAAAATATTCCACAGCCTTCGCGGCTACGGAGAATTGAGTCCCTTGTTGCTACGCACTCTCTGTTTCACATTATTATCGTTTCGCGTGGCTCCGCAATGAACATACCTCTGTAGAGAGTCGGTCATCAGTCTTCGCCATCATCAGCCGCGTCAGCGTCAGCGACCAGGCCAACTCACCACCGCGTTACCAAGCCTACCAACTCTCAGCTCGCCTCGCCTCGCCTCGCCTGTTCGCAGCTGCCGTTCCGATCCGCCCTTCTCTTCCAATCTCGCTCGACTTCTGCATCGCTTTGCGCACGCCCAACCACTGATAGTACGTTCCAAGTTCGTTTGGAGCGGAAACGCCCATGCGACAGAGACCTGCACGACAGCGCATCGGTGCTGAATCGCCATGCTGCTTCCCGAGCACCAACACGTCCATGTCCGAAGTTTGGGGCCGCGTCAAACCAATACAAGCACCAGCGAGCAGAATGCCGGCGCTGGTGGTAGCGGTGGCACGCAGACCGTCATCATTATCGTAGGTGGTCGGGTGTACTGACAATGCCACAGCAACACACACTGACGAGTATTCAAACAGGTCGTTGTCGCGATAGTGGCGGTGCTTCTACTGGCGACTGGGTCGTTCATGATCCTCCGGAGATTGCGAAAACGGCACGAGAATCCCAAATATGTACCAACGCAACTTCTCAAGAAGAAGTGGAGAGCGTGGCATCCAAGGCAATTCTCTGCATCGTCAAAAGGCCAGTATAGCGCCAGACTACAAGACACACCGTCGATACCACCACGGCCCTTGCCAAGCGAAATCAGGAGCGCCCACGCAAGCCGACAGGATCTCCCAGATTTAGAAAGAGCACAGGCTGAGATGCTCGCGAATAGTGATAGCGTGGAAAGGCGTACAAGCGTGCGGTCAGTCATGACCCTGCCCGCTTACTCGCATTCAGTACGAGAGAACGAGCAAGTTCTAGGAAGGGAAGGCGAACGAGATGGCATAGACGTGGTTGTAGAAATGCCGGAAACAGAACAGGACGAAGAAAATCGACGAGAGGAAGAGATGGAGAGCTTGTATCAGATACGACTGCAGCGCAGACAAGAGGTCGCAGAACGAGAAGAGCGCAGAAGACGCAGACATGATGCCAGAGCCAGAGGTGACTTTGCGGAGGCCGAAAGAATAAGACGGGAAGGAAGAGACGCGACTGCACGAAGAGAAAGAGAAGGCGCAGCGGCTATGATTGCAGAGCACCAGGCTGCGATGGCTAGCAGAGATCGCCGGGTGAGCAGCGTTAGTTACGCTGAACTCGGCGTTGCAAGACATGATGGTACAAGGATACGAGCGAACTCGAACGACTCGGACAGCAGGCCGCTCCTGGACTCTGCCGCGAGTATCAATGGAGCTAGTCTGAGACCATGGTCAACACAAGAGAGCATGCCGTACTCTCATCACCGAAATCGGTCACAGATATCGCAAAATGGCTCGATGATGTCCACCGCATTAGACGGAGATCCGGACTTTGTTGATCTGGCAGAGAGGCCGCCGTTTGGTCGGGCGGGAAGCGATTTCGAGGTGGTTACGCTGAACCAGGGCGGACATTCTCGCAATAATTCTGCAGCTCACACACCTATCGGCGGGCGGAGCAGAGCCTCGACAACTTCCTCGCGCAATGGCGCGGTGCTACCATCCGTTGACACTTCAGTAAACGTCAGTGGTGATCTTGGTGAGAGACACATCCCAAGCGCCGATCCACCTAGCTATGATGGCGAGGGGTTTGAAGATGCACCACCATACGAATCGCCTACTTCCGCTCGCGCGCCGCAGATCCAGACTTCTTCTGCTTCGTCACCAGATCAATCCGGGTCCGAACAGACGTCGTCAGCAAGCGGCGCACCTCAGTTGATGCCAATTAGCCGCCTGCCGTCTATACGAATTGCGGAAGCCACGCCCGTCGATCCAAAAAGACCGAATTTCCCAGAAACGTTGCGAGAAACGTCAGCCGAGTATCGGCCAGAGGCGTGATGGTGTTGAAGCCGTATACACATTTCGAGTTGCGAACTAGCGAGCATTTGAGCGTTCAGGAGTAGGCCCTGGAATGGCGTCACGAGATCCAAGATTTAACGAAAGCGATTTGTATGTAAGATCTTAATGATAGGAATGTACGTATGCGTACGGATCACCACTGCTCCGTCGGGGCCTCGTCTCGTGCCAGGATTGGGACACGACCCCCAGCTTCGCACACCTCTTCACTTGCGCGCGACCGGATTTAGCCGGAATACTCAACCGAGAATGCGTCTACATCTACAGCAGTAAGAAGCTGCCTGAGTCTACAAAATGCTTGTCTGGACTATCTTTCGTCTGCTCTGGCTTGACGACCTTTCTCACGAAATTGGATGATGATGTCTACAGCACGCATCGCCGAAGCTAACCAGCCATTTCCTCCGCACGCCTTCTCAACCAACCCATTGAAAGCTAGAGATGACATAGCTGCTGCATGCGCATCTCTCCTCGATCCACTGGAGCCAGGCTTCTCCAAAAATCGTGCACTGGTTCGGGTAGGCGGCAGCGGGACCAGGTTCGATGAGACGGCAGCGCAAATCGAAGGCTTCGCAAGACCATTATGGGGCCTTGCGCCACTGCTCGCTGGAGGCTTCGACTATGGAAAAACACACTTGTGGACCGAGGGTCTGGCTGCTGGTACAGATCCCAGCGGTTCGGAGTTCTGGGGCAATATGCAGGACCTCGATCAACGCATGGTAGAGGCATGTCCACTTGGCTTCACACTCGCCGTCGCGGGTCAGAAATTCTGGGATCCATTGACTATGCAGCAGAAGCAGAATCTTTCCAGCTGGATTGGCTCGATGAATGATAAGGAGATGCCAAACACGAATTGGCTCTGGTTTCGTGTCTTCGCAAATTTGGGGCTACGAGCGAATGGAGCTCCATATTCTCATGAGAGGATCGAAGCTGATGTGGCCCATCTCGAGACATTCCATCGAGGCGAAGGCTGGTCTAATGACGGGCCTGAGGGCTACACCCAAATGGATTATTACAGCGGCTCATTCGCTATTCAGTATCTGCAACTACTCTACTCAAAGCTCGCCGCAGACTTTGATCCACAGCGTGCTCAAAGGTTTAGGCACCGGGCGAAGCAATTTGCTCTGGATTTCATTCACTACCAAGACCCAGATGGCCATTCGATACCATTCGGCCGAAGCTTGACGTATCGCTTCGCGACCATTGCGTTCTGGTCGGCATTTGCGTACGCGGATGTAGACCCACCTGCACCATTGACATGGGGAGTTATCAAAGGCCTTGTTCTTCGAAACCTTCGTTGGTGGAGTCACAAGCCTCATATCTTTCAGCGCATGTCTCTACAAACGTATCGGATCGGAAACACATTGCTAACCTCTTGCTTTCTTTCTAGCCAATGGCATGCTCAATATTGGGTATACATATCCAAATTACTATTTGGCCGAAAACTACAATTCTCCAGGCTCGCCATACTGGTGTATGCTGGCCTTTGCAGCACTTGCGCAGCCCGAATCACACCCCTTCTGGTCGAGCGCAGAAGAGGCTCATCCTTTCACACACTCACCCAGTCCGCTGCCAGCTATCAAAGCATTGGAGATCCCAAAACATATTCTGGTACATCAAGGCGGACACACCTTTCTCCTCAGTAGCGGCCAGAAGTGTCACTACCCTCTCAAAGCAACGCAGGCTAAATACGGTCACTTTGCATACAGTGCCAGCTTTGGCTACTCCGTCCCGACTGGAGGTTACACGTTGGAACAGTTTGTTCCCGAAAGTGCTTTAGCGTTGAGTGACGATGATGGAGAGACATGGAAGCTGAGACGTGAGGTGGAAGATGCTGTGATTCTCGAGAAAGAAGGCCAGCCCGGACTATTATTCTCCACGATGCATCCGTGGAAGGACGTCGAGGTCAAAACTTGGCTCATGCCGCCCACCGATCAAGCCCCGAATTGGCACATTCGCATCCATCGGATCGTGACAAGCCGGGCTTTGCGGAGTGCCGAAGGTGGATTTGCGATCGCTGGAACACGAGAGCTCGATGGCAGAATCCTCACGGAACAGACTCTGGAGTCTCCAAATGAAGGCACGGCCGCATTTGGCAAGACTGCTTTAATTCTGTCCCGTGCCGGAGCTTCTGGAGTCGTTGAGCTACTATGGAATGACGGTCGGACAGGTGGCATTTGTCACGTTGATGCAAACAGCAATCTCATTGAGCCCAGGACGCTCTTGCCGGTACTTTATGCCGACCTTGAAGCTGGACCGACGCCAATGTGGTTTGCTACCGCAGTCTTTGCGATGCCGTCGACGGTTTCGGATTGGCAAGATAAGTGGAAGACGGGATGGCAGGCAATCCCAGAAGTACCGCAGTGGGTTTTTGACATGATGAAAACTGACGATGTCAAATAATGGTGGGAGATTTGAACGGCGTTGGGTGGAGATGATGCGAGGATTAATGTATGGCGTCAGAAGCCTTTAGCCATGGCAAATGTCTCTCAAGGTCCAGGTCAGGTTCGCCTTCGTTGAAACGTGGTCCATTGTCACAGAAGCTACACGGTCTGCCACTCATGTCACTGCTGTCGATAGTGTGGCTCATCATTCCTATGTCATTCCCAATAGGATGTGGTGCAAAAAGTTCTTTCATGGAATTCTGGCTGCAACTTATTCAGTTTCTCGACACTACAATCCGTCCAGCTCATGCCGAATCCCATCATTTCTTGCTTGGCGTCATGGAGGTCATCGACGAGTATGCTGCGAGGGGCGCAGGTACTCACTCTCGAGTTGCCTTTTGCGAGTCGTGGAGGTCTGCTCCGAGCAAGGCGGCGAGTATCGTGCGTCTTGGAAGAACTCGGGACCCGTGCGTCAGTGCTCTTGAATATGTTAGGATCAGTGCTGCTCTCCTTGCTTAGGGGACTTACACATATGCTTCTACTTGCAAGAAAGGATGGTCAATGTTTCCTCTGCTGGTTCTAAATTTCGAGTCTCCAGAATTGCCAAATCCTGCAATCGATTCGCTCAGGATGGCGACCTGCGCGAAACCTCGGCATATAGATGGTAACCCATGCTTCTTCATCTCAGATTCGCCTGGATCATCTATTCTATTCATCGTCATGCCAGCGTAGTAACTTCAGAGCCATCTATGCACCTCTCTTCCCTAGAGCTGCACTCCTCGCCACAATTGTCATGTTCTCAATCCTGAAATAGGAATCCGGCTGCATACTCAACATTGCCCCCCGTTGAGTTGAGAGCCGCAATTGCTTGCTGCTCGTTAAACCCCAAGTCTTTCAAAGTCTGAATGCTCTCGGCAGGGAAATTGTGCGCTGGTCTAGGTAATGCCTGCGGGTTCGGAGCACCCATCCCATACGGCCTGATCGGTATCTGCGGAGGAACTGCGGTCTGAACCGGCAGAGGAGTTCTAATCGTCCTTGCCATATTTGCCGCCCACTCCCAAGGTCGAGCATGATTTCCGGGCAAAGAATTGAAGTACTCCCAGCCCATGACGCCTCCGAAAGTAGGATACTTTTGACGAAGTGCTCTGAGCACAGGCTCTTGTCGAGGCCATTCCACATGCCCTGGTCCGTTAGCAGGATTCGTCATGAGACCCATCACGACTTTACTGGGGTTCCATCCCATGCTCACGATGGCATCGTACCACGCCGTGGAAGATGCGTCACCCCAGCCGCAATAGAATTGAGTATTATACCATGCAATCTCATGGCCTCGCATCTGCTCTAGAAGTCTGTAGTCGAATGCCGGTCCGGACAGGTGTGGTTGATTAGGCAGTAAAGCTGTCGCCACTGGTGCTAAAGTGATAATGAAGTGCGGTCCAAAATCAGCTCGCAGACGGTCTATGAGTCTTATTGTACCTGGTAGACTTGTAGGCTCCTCGATATCGAGATCCAAACCATCCAGGCGGTGATGCCGTATCATGTCTCGGAGGGGCACGTAATAAGACTCGAACCTTTCCAGGTCATCTCCATCGAGACGTTCGTAAGAGCCTTTCGCGAATCCGCCGAGCATTCCCAAGATCTTGACTCCGCTCGCTTGAAGCCATGCGACTTCACTCCAGAGGGTATTGAACTTCTCATGGTTGGGCGGGTTGTCGTTGAGAGTAATGTTGCCGGCAGGGTCGTTCAGATGAATTGCTGCTATAATGACGTGCGTCACCCCGGTCGAGTTTGTGATAAGAGGGAGCAGAGAGACTGGCGGCCCGTCATTCGGGCCATGATGAGTCTGGTGGTATACAATCACTTTTGGTCCCTCACCAAGAGGCAAGAGTGATGTTGACATGGCATTGATGAGGCCAAGAGATGTGGTTGCGCGAGCTTTGACTTTGCGGAAGCGGAGGGGTGAGGTCGGAGGCACTCAAGCCGAGCACCGACCGGGACTCGATTGAGCAGTCGACCGGTGCCGGTGCCTTCTCCTGCGCGTTCGGTGCCGAAGCTGTGCCTTACAAGGCCTACATTGGGGATTTGCATCGAAATGGGAGCAAACCATTCAGCTTCACTGGCACTGCGGTCATGGTTGAAGAGTTGGTTCTAAGTCTGGCTCAACTCGCAGTCCACAAAACGGGTTGCCCACATAATCCAGGCCACAGAGCCCAGATATGGCTACATACATACATACATAGAGGGTATTTGTTAGTGCTCGTGCTCTGCAGGCCAAAATCTGCAGATTCGGCTCCATTCCCCGATCAGCCTCCACCAAATCTTATTTTTGGCTCTCAGATCTGCACGAACGACTTCAGCTCCTGCTCGGAACGCTAAGTTAGCGAGGAGCTTTCGGACAATGCGGTGAAGGAGCTGGATCTGTTCGTCGACCTCAAGGCAAGCCTGCTGCCTTTCTTTGCAGAGTCTGTTCGGTTCGGCAGCATGAATTATTGGCGCAGGATTTCGAGAAGCCGAGCATGACAGCGGCTGTGAACGCTGCCAACGCCTCCGGGTGCGACGTTGCGTAGGCTGCACGCGTTCCACATGAGTCGGGGAACGGCCCCAAATGGCCCCTGACCGATAACATTATCTGGCGGTGTTCCCAGCTTTACTCAGTAGATATGATCGTCTCTGCCTCCTTCTCGTTCCCTCTCCCTCTCCCTCCTCCCTCTCCTCGACCAACAAGAACTTTGACGCGCTCGAATCATCATGGCTCCCGCATCTGCCGATGGCCTCAAGGTCATCATTCTTGGAGGCGGTATTGCTGGCCTCACGACTGCTTTGGCGCTCACCAAGTTCGCTCCAAAGGGACAAGTGCCCAAGATCGAAATCTTCGAGATCCGCCCCGAGCCAGCGACGATTGGAGGTGCTGTGAACCTCACACCAAATGCCCTCCGCATGCTCGACCATCTTGGTGCTTTGCCCATCATCCGACAGCGAAACTACGGCAAAGACATCGATTACCTGGAGGTCTTTGATATCTACTCTGGAAAGCTTGCCGAGTCCGATTTCCGCGGACCAGAAGGCAAGGGCATTGGGAACCCACCATACAAGGCACTACGAATCACTCGTGGCGATGCCCTGAAGGGTGTGCTCGCGGCGGTGGAGCAGCAAGAGAATATCACCATGACCTGCGGAAAGCGCACGGTGAAGATTGAGGAAACTGCAGACAAAGTCACAATCCACTTCGAAGATGGCGGATCAGCTTCTGCCGAACTTCTGATGGGTTGCGATGGGATTCACTCGGTGACGAGATTGAAGCACGTGGAACCAGAGCGGACGGCTACTTACTCTGGTGTTGCCAACGCATTTGGATTTGCACCTATTGAGCCAGACTTCAAGGTCCACTTCGAGTGCACTGCGATCAACTTTGCTCGACGAGGCATGCTTTTGTCCAGCTACCACTCCTCAACGGCCGATTCTGTATACGTTGGCGGACTGATGCAGGTGCCCGACGTTGGATCTCGAGATGGATGGAAGGCGGTGGGAGGAGAGGCTGAGAAGACGAGAGCACAGCTTCTCGACAGATTTGGAGATGCAAAGATCCCTTGCATCGTTCCGCTCATCAAGAAGGCTCAAGACTTCTTCCTCTGGCCAGTGTACACATTGAGCAAGGATGGCAAGTGGTCGACCGACAGAGTCATGCTCCTTGGTGATGCTGCAGTAAGTTCAGCCAACCTATGCCTTTCACGACATGCACACGCTAAACCTGATTTCAGCACGCAATGCCACCACAAGGCGAGAGTACGGGCATCGTTTTCGAAGACACAGTTCTCTTCTCCCGCTTCCTTACCCGATGGATCGAGAAGGGCAGGACTACACCAATGAAAGAGGCATTCGAGGCATATGAGAAGTTCAGAAAGCCACGTATCGCGAGCGCATTTGAGGAATCGAAGAATGTCGTCAGCACCGTCTCTGATGCCGGCTGGTTGGGACACACTATCAAGACATTCATTATTCCATGGTATCTGTGGTTCTCCAGGACCGGCCGCGAGAAGCATTTCATTGAGGATGTCACCACAACAGATATCGGATACTAGTCGTGAAAATATGGGCAAGGGCCAGACAGGGCAGGGCAACGCAGGGCGGTATTTTGCATGCAGCTCGCTTGTGAATTTGGGCAACGCAATGCATTTTGGATGGCGCGAGGATACCTACCAGTGATGATAGATCAAGTAGGATTGCGGGTTGCTTGCAAGAAATGCACAATCTTTTGGGAAGTCATGATCATTTCTCACGTCGAGTTCCGAGGAGCAAATGTCACGTACTCTCGCGGGTATGAAGAATTTCGAGGAGACACGCTGGCTGCAGTGGTCATCACATTTTGCATCTCAAGACCAGAATCACTTGCCCGTCCAGACTACCTAATTCACAGAAATTGGCAACGAAGCCTGTCGTTTTATTTCGGTGACGACACAACGCGCTTCTCGCGTGGGTTGGCGGGCATCCGTCCGTTCCGTTACATAAAAGTGGTTGTCATGTGGGTAACGTGGTGGCGTGGTAGCAAAGCATGTTTAAGGCTAGTAACAGGAGGTGACGATCGCAATCATACTCACTTGGATGGAGGTACACAATGAGATGTCTGAAGGGATGGCACAATGGTGTTCATCATTGACAATAGTAAATTCTCGACATAAGTAGGCCATCTATCAGACCAATCCTCGTAGCGGTACTGTGCAACTCATGATCCCGCGGCTTGTCGACATGCAATATAAAGGTTGATGAGAAACCAGAAATTTTACGAGACCCAATTACCATGCTGTCATTTCCATCAAGAAGCAACGAGGACTCTATGCTGGGCAGTTGGCTGGCTTGAAGACGCCAAGGTCAACGAGCCATGCACCGCTGTTGAACTCGGAGTAGACGGTCTTGATGAGCCACTTGCGGTTCTCGTAGACAGTCTCGAGGACAATGATACCACGGACTGCCTGTGGTGCACCTGCCTGTACGGTAGTCATCCATCGGAGGGTGACGGTATCGCAGTTGTGCCTGGGAAGTTGTTAGAAGTGAATTTGAATTCCACTGCCATGCAATATTGCCCTACCAGACGTTAAGCTGCTTGAATGGAATGTTTGGCTGGGAACCCTGGCCAGCCTCGAAGGCGTCGCGGTTGGTGAAGGTGGCAGCTCCGAGCTGTAGCTCATTAGCATGCTGTCCATTGTACATGTACATGTCTCAAGCTCTCGAACTTACAGTGGCTGGGCCAGAAGTGCAGCCGCTGTTGATCAACTCGCTGACGGAGTCAGAGTAGTCTTGGAAGTCGGCAGTGAGGTAGGCATTGGCGCTGGAGTTGGAGTAGTTGGAGATGAGCTCGTTGAAGTGGTTTGCGACGGTCTGGGCATCGTTGTCGCTCATGCAGACAGCGCCACGGCCATTCCACCAGGATGGGCGCTTTCCAGAGCCCCAACCACCATAACCTCCATTTGGCGTGGCGAGAGCGGTAATAGCGAGGGAGGCAGTGGCCAAGATGGTAGTGAAAGCGTACATCTTCGAAGTGGTTACTTGGTCTCGGACTAGAGAATTAAAGAATGTAAAAAAGCGAGTGGCTTCTAGCGATGACCGGTACTCTCGAGGTTGGTAGATGTGCAATGAGAGGGGAAGGCGTCTCGAGAGCAGGCAAGATGCTCTTTATACGAGCCGAGCAGAGGGGATTTGGGTCGATAGCCTGCCGGTGCCTTACCTGACGTTGGCCAGTGCATGGAACCAGACTGCAACATGAATCGGGAGTGTGACTGGAAGGCGAGGTGCGTTCGTGACAAGCGCCATCGCCATGCAGCCGGAATTGAAAGGATTGTGATGAAGGCCGAGCAGACGGCGAGACGGCGTACTGCTAAAAATGGCCAAAATGGGGACACGGGCGTGATGCAGAGCGCAGGCGACGAAGCAAGATGCCCACTTCTGTCCGGATGCGGCGAGGAGGATTGCGGGAAGAGGGTGAAGTGAGTCGTCTGAGTTGTCGCTTGTGGAGGAGCTGGCAGGGGTAAGGCGGCTCAAGATTTAGCTTGACAAAAGCCTTGGCCGCTTGACCGTCTTGGTGTCTCGTCGCGATCGACCTCACTCATCACTCACTCATCATCACTCACTCATCAGCCCACGCCGGGCACGCCCTACACCACCCCCGCAGCGCCGCCACCAGTCAGTTACAGATATGTCTGCCAGCACATGAAGATGACAGCGAGAGCACACCTGGAAGAATGCTCCATGGCACGTGTCAGCCGCAATACGGACGCACGCTGCATAGTCGAGATGAGTGGCTGCTCCCGCGGAGTCCTGACATCGTACGGTACTTCATTCGCCGGTGGAGAAGACATCGCACGCGCGCAGCACACATCCAACCGTTCGTCAGGAGCTTCAATCAAACTTGAATAACTTAATTGCTGGTGAAACTGCTCCTTCTGCAGCAGATTTGCAACACTATCTCCAACGCATGTTGATGGAGACCCGTTGACAAGCCGTCTCAAGACTGCTTGGCTGAGGCTGAGCAATCCCGGCAAGCGAAACCTTCGCCAGTGTGCCTGTACAATTCTGCGTGGTGTGCTGCAGCCATCGTCATCGGCGCAGCAGCTCATCAATCATGCGAACTATACACTGTCAATGCATAAAAGCTGCAGTGAGAGCTGCAATGTAACCACAACAGCATGCAAGATCTGCTGGCTGTTTGCATGTCAGCACTACTGTATCGCTACCTGCTGGAAGGATATCACAAGCAGTTGAGCGAAATCCTGAAAGCGCTAAGTTACCGAACGCGATCGATGTTTTGCCTGCACGAATCCTTTCGAATTTCCTTGATTCGCTGCTGCAGAAAAGCTACTTCAGGAACTGCACCAGAAAACGCCACCTCCCCTGTCTTCCCGACGTCCCGTCCGCCTCGCTCACACATGGCTGCCGCCTGCGATCAATGCCGGCAAGGCAGTCCGTCATCAAAAGGAGGTCGATCAACACTGTCCATCATTTCTGCACTGCTGTATGCATTCGAGCCTTTTCCGTACTGTTCAACACTCAGCTGCTTTGCTGTGTAGCTGAAATAGTGTCCTGGCCTGGACCACGAATGTTTCGAAGGATTGCAATGTCAACGAAGCAACCAAATAATACGAGAGTCTTCAACTGCGGACATGACCCCGTGCCCAGACAACATTCCTGAAGCATGAAAATTGTCCTTGCTCAGCAGGAGGCCTGATGAAAGCGACAGCACAATGCGGCCAGAACCGAATAATGTCTCAGCCCAGCACACACTTCAAAATTGTTCTTCATGTCAGCTGCCCCTGTTCGCAGTGACTACACCAGCATGGTTCAATGCAGACATCTCCAGTCAGTAAATACGCTAGAACTCTCGAGAGCTGGAGGAAGCGGACAAGGCTATCAATTCTCACGTTCTATCTAACGAAAGGTCTACTGGAGCGCACCGCTCATCTCATACTCTTCACCGCCGTCACCTTGGTCCGCGTCAGTCACAAAGTCATCATCAAAGTCACCCGAGCGATAATCAATCCGCCCCTCGTCCGCAGCCAGATCTTGCCCTACGGGATCATCGTATTCGTCTATTTCATCGATCTCGGTCTCTTCAGCGATAGTGTCCAGTGTTGGCCGGTTTTGAGCAGTTGCTCTCCTCCTCCCTCGCCTCCGTGGGACAGGTTCGGCATACTCTTCCTCCTGTAAGGCAGCCGCAAGCGCTGCATCATTATCTGTATTGGATGTGTCATTCTGAGTGACCTCTCCGCCGGCATCAGCTGTGTCTCCGCCGCCACCAAAGAACTCCTCTCGCCTATCCGTATTTACGCTCGCGTGCAACTTTGGTCTGTAGCGCAGTGGATCGGAAACCGAAAGCCCACTTGATCGGGAAACTCTTACTTGCCCAGGACCACGCCGTGGCATCGTAGGAGGAGATGCCGCGGGACCACGCGGTGCCGCTCTCGCGGGCTTTGGACGCGATGGCGCTGCTGGACGCAATGCAGCTCTCGCCGCTTCTGCAGCTTCTCGTTCTCTCCTCCTGGCTTGAGCCCATGCCAGACTTCCGTAGCCGATAGTCGGCCGTGTCGTACTTGTACCAGGCTTGAAGTATCCTCGGGAGCCCAGATGGTTTTGAGTAGCCTCGTTGTCCTCATTTCGTTGTCTCCACGTCTTGAAACCAGGTCGATCTGTTGTGGTCTGAGGTACTGTTGGCAGAGGTTGAGCGCCGCTGGTGTACAGATCTTCTTCGTCGTCGCCCAAGAAGGGCATAGCCTTTGGCAACGCTGGCGCAACCTTCTTAAGAATGCCTTTTAATCCTGGCCCTTTCTTTGCACCAGGTTTCTGCCAAGGTTTGCATCCGGCGTCGAGCTTCCTCCATCTATCCCATTTCGTTGACACGAAGTGCAAAGCTTCACTAATGCTGAATCTCTTAGCAGGATCGAAGATGAGTAGCTTCTCGAGACACACTCGCAGACTCAAGCTGTAAGACTGTGGAAACATATGTGCTTGCCATCGGTCCTTGCCTTCCCGCGCCAGTTCCAGCGAGCGCATCGCAAACCCACGAGCTTTGCTATATGGCTCATAGACCTCCTCTCTACTTTCTGGAACGTAGGCGCCACCCATCAGGGCTACCACGACAGCACCGATCGACCAAAGGTCGGATCTGCCTCCGAAAGGCTCGCTTGCTTCGTCCTCTAGACCACGTTGGTCCAAAAACCTCAACATGCTGCGAGGAGACAAGTTCAGGACCTCAGGATCCCGGCTGATATACCAGGAGAGCTCTGGAGCCTCGAAATCCTCCTGACCTTGGCCTTCGGGCGCTTTGAAAAGATTGATATTCTGTCGACGTTCGAGGCTATTCCGCTCGTGAAGCAGTCTGCAGCGTGTGAAGTTTCCCAACTTCACTTGTCCATAGACCTGTCCTTCGCGTGGAGCGGTCAGGAAAATTGTGTCTGGATTGATGTTATTATGAACGATGGGAGTCCAGTTGGGTTCTTCCATGGCCCATGGATCAACTTCGGTTCGTCCTTCATGCAGCCACAGTACAGCTCGCAACAGAGAAGTGAGGACGTGCCAAACGAAAGGCTCCTCGACGCCTGCAGGAGTTTGAGCAAGGATTCGGCCGATCGTGTTGGGCTTCCCATCGCAATACTCCCACGCTTCCCAGTGCGTTGGGCCCCTTTCGGCTCCAGTCTTGTCGCCTAGCGTCGTGAAGTCGAGCAGTCGTACCAAATATTGGTTCTGAAGCTTTCTATACATGCTGTAAATGGCCTCCCAATCCACCTCGCCTGGCTTCTCTGCTAACTCCTTGGCGACAGCTCGAACAAGGTTATTGTTCCTGTCTCGGACGTTCACGAACCATTCCCTTTGGCGGTCTTCTCGCCATGGGGATGATGGTCCTTCGTCCAGAGTGATTCTTGCTCTTTTGGAAGGCCTGAAGCCTTTGCCGGGTCCAGGCACTAGATTGCTCTCAGCCAGCCTTTTCTTGCTTGGATTGAGAAGAGCAGTGAGCTTGGGCGGCGAAGCTGGGAACGCGCCTGGGAGGTTTTTATTTGGTCGGCCATTCCCAGCCTTGGCATTCCTCAGTCGTTGCTTCAGTGGGGGTGTTGGCGGAGGCGACAGGCTTGGTAACCTGTATTCGACCATATTTGCTGCTTTTCCTGCTTTTGATTTGTGCGAAGTAATGAGAAAGGGCCGTGATGAGAAAGGGCATTGGGGAGAAGATGTGCAGCTGCTGATACACAAAGAAAAGCCATACCTGCTCCGCTTCCGGCGATGATATTGGACTTACAAAGACTGCTTTCTCAATATCCAGCTCTTCTCCTTTGACTTCTCACAATGCCTAGCATCGTGGGAGTTCTGCTTCCTTGGTGTCGTGTAAACGGGACTTCTACTCTGTGTAGACTGGTCGCCCAGTCGGTAGATGTGCAGATTGGCGACTTGAATATTCACAGCAGGTCCTCATGAGCGAGCAACACATCTCAGCGAGATAGCTATCTCCCTACCGCTGTTGTAAAGCATTGAACAGCATCATCTCTGGAAGAGAGACTGGCGTGTTGGCCAGCAATGGGTTCCCACTGCGGCAGCAACGATTGGGCACACGCAGAGCAAGATGACATGCTCACCAACCGTCTGGGATGCAGTCGAAAATACGACATGTTTCATCAGTAAATTGAGTCGATGAATGTCAAGACTCAAAGATCAAATCACAGAGGTAGACGTAGACATCCGTTGCTACCGAAGTGCTTGGGCCAAGACTGCCAAGACTTTCCGAAAGGAAGGTCGGGCGAGCAAGCAAGCCAAACACCAAACACGTACGCCAATCTTCACGTGTGACGCAACGAATGGAAAAAGTGCATCGTGTTCCTGACTCTTATCTGTCGCGTCCCTAATAATGTGTCGGCCTCCGAGAGAAGCTATCGCACGCTGTGATACGCCCGGAAAACTACGTTCACGCCGACGCCGACGTCTCACACCGCCAGCTCAACCATGATGGATGAGTTGCTAGCACCTTCTGTGGGAATGCCGTAGTGAAGCCATCCTGCATGCCTAGGCAAGTGTGTGCTGCTTCCCGTACGTTATTCACAGCAGCCAAGTCATTCTTTGTTTCTGATTGTGTCACCATCATAACCCCATACATCCTAATCTACCAGCTCAACCACAACCTAGCAAACAACAATCGCCGATAAGATTCCCATTGCAAGATTCCTCGATAAAATATACATCACAGATATCAAGAGCCATCCCGCCCATCGTCGACTTCTGCTCACACCAAAAATGGCACCCACGATCTACTGCGTGAGACACGCTCAAGGCTATCACAATCTCTGCGTGGAAAATCACCACATGCCAGATCCAGACCTGACCGAACTTGGAGAAGAGCAATGCCGTAACCTCCAAAAAAACTTCCCCCACCACGACAAGATCGACCTAATCGTAGCCTCACCCATACGGCGAACCCTGCACACAGCGCTCCTGAGCTTCCACGACACAATCCAGCGCAAAGGCCTCAAAGTCATCGCCTTGTCAGAACTCCAGGAAACTTCCGACCTCCCCTGCGACACGGGCTCGGAAAAATCCAAGCTCGAAAAAGAATTCGCCAACCAACCCGTCGACCTTTCCCTCGTCCCCGATGGCTGGAACTGCAAGCGAGGAAAATGGTCACCCACATCCCAAGCAATCCAAGCCCGAGCACGCCAAGCACGCCAATGGCTCAAAAGCCGTGAAGAGAAGAACATCGTCGTCGTCACACACGGAGGCTTCCTACACTACTTCACAAAAGATTGGGATGCTTTTGAACAAAGCGCGGGCACCGGGTGGCAGAATACGGAGTTTCGGTGGTTCTATTTCAAGCAGGAACATGACGAGAAGGATGAGGAAGCTGATGTGGAGGAGTGGCCGGAAAGTAAGGTGAGGAGGAGGGGACGGGGACAACAGGATCGGGAGGAAGTAAGTAATTTGCAGAGGACTGCGGCGGCGGGTGAGAATGGTAGTAGTGCATCGACGTCGACGAGACAGGCTGCTATGGCTATTAATGCGCAGGCGGTGGAGGAGAGACCACATGTTATTCAGGCCAAGGTATAGCGATGAGCATATGTTTTGGCTCAAGGGCTGATGCTTGATACCGTAGCTAAAGGCGCTGGAGGATAAATGGAAGGACAATCTGCGTAAGGCCAAAGCGTGAGTCCAAGCAATCAATCATGCTCTGTGATGGTGAAGGAAGGAAGCGCGCAGGCTAAGCGTATGGGAAGGAGCTACGAACGCTTGCTTGAGGGGAGTTTTCCTGGGAAGGTATAACATAGCGCTGGGAGGTGACCTGGGAGCATGGAGCATAGAATGAGACATGATAGATGATAGACAGAACATCACGATGGAAAAGAATTACGATCTGGGAAAGAATACAGATTCTCAATGCGTTCGCGTTCCGGGTATCATAAAATGCTGATCAGTAACTATGCGCCAAGCAATGCAATGGATCCTCATCACTTCTTCGTGTTGTCTTATGTATGCTCTCATTGCTCTTCATTGGTGTATGCCTCGTGCAAAGGACTCCTTGGCCTATTGTCACTCTGACTTCTGAGTGTCGCCATTCTTGTTTTCCCAGTCCCTGAGCTCGGCGGAGTTGCCAAGGGTCTGGCTTGAGGTGAAGGTGAGGGTCTGCCGCTACCTGCGTACTTCGCACTGACTGTTTGGCGATGAGCGTCGCTTGTCAAGTTTGGCGTGGAAGTTCGTGAAGGTGTTTGCTGCTGGTGCATGGGCTGCTGGTGCTGACGTGGCGAGTATGAAGGCCTCATACCTGCCAGATTCGGCGAGAATCGTTCAGTCGTGCCGCGTACGAAGTCAAGCTTGGGAATCGGTTGTTCCTCGTACTCGTATGCCTCGTCATATGCAATCTCATGGCCAAAGCCTTCCGGTGAGAGGGACTCACGCACTGAGCGTGGTGAGCCACCATTGTCGCGAATGTATTCTTCGCTTCGACGCTTGATTGGTGACTCGTCGTAAGGGTCAAATCCGACACGCTTCATGGCATCGTGACGGAGACGCTGGCGATATGACTTGTCCGCTCCGGCTCCTGCAGTGGCGCTGTCTTCCAGAAAGAAGTTGAGCAGCTCATCCTCGATGGCGAGATGGGACTCTTGGCGGAATTGCTGGAGTGCAGACAGCTTAAGGAGCATTTCCAACAGAGATAGCGTCGTCTTGATGGGAGGACCGGTGCGCTTGTTTGGTGACATGGCCAATGCTGCAGAGTTCGCATTCAAAGAAGGCGCGCCTGCTGGTGAAGACGAGAGGTTGAGCTTCGCCAGAGCATCAGCGACGCTAGGATCGAGAGAAGTACACCGACTGTGGGGGTTGGAATCTGTCGGGAGCTCGTCTTCTGTGTCCGAGTCCTCTTCTTCCACATAGACTTCGAAGGCCATCCATTCCGGATCTAGGTCAGCAGGGAGCCGCCATAGGCCTGATTGCGATGGAGCAGTCGGCTTTTGTGGCGTACCTGCATTGGACTCTCGCTCCAGCTGAGCGTCAATCTCGCTCTGATGGCCCGCAGCTCCTTTGTCTCGGTCCTCATCTGGCGTGTGTGCTCGAGATTGAGAGCGCTGAAGCATGCGTCTAGGTGGCTCCGCATGAACATCGCGTTTTAGCAGCAAAACGGGATTGTTGGTCTCACCATCACCGCCAATGTTGAGGATTTTGCCGGTGTCTGCATAGAATATTTTTGAGATCTCGTGAATCGGCACAACATCGCGAAGACCGGCATTTGCAACATCATCGCAAGCTCCGGGCTGAGGCTCGTCATCCTCGAAAGAGTGTACTCTGTCATCGTCCAGGTCTTCGATGATGGCGAGCTGGTAGGCAAATTCGGAGGCTTTGGCATCTGCTGGAATAGTGTTATCATTGTAACAGTCAGTTTCCGGAGGCTCGCCTGGTCGAGTGTAAAGCTGGTCGAGCGGGACACGCCATAGCTTCACTCGCGCCTTGTGGATGACTTCTTTCCAGGTCGTTTCACGCACACCACGTTCGTCGACAGGTCGTGCGGCGTGACCGGCGAAGAGCATATACATAGTGAGGACATATGTGGGGCCTACCTGCTGGCGGCTTGTCGGGGTGCCACCGAATTGGGCATCAGCAGAAGACAAGAAGGTCGATGCTTGCAAAAGGCGGCTGGGGCTGATGGTGCCCGACAGCTTCGTAGACAGATTCACGCCGGAAGTTGTGATGGCGAGATTGATGAGCGGGACGGCGTCCTCGATGCGCGCCAACAGCAGCTTCATCTGGTTGACGATGGCCTTCAGCTCGGCATCGGTCTCTTCGCGAGACTTGGACAGGATGGCTTTGCGCTGGGTAAGCTCTTCGTGTGTGGCTGCCATTTGTAGGCGCTGGCCCAGCTTCTGCATTTCGTAGCGAATGTCCTTGCAGAGACTCACGGCTGATTCGAGCGATGTATTGCCACGCGCGGCAATCAGCTCTATCATGTCAATAGCAGGCGAGATGACGCGGATCTTGGATTCGAGGCGGAATTGCAGCTGTCGCAATTCCTCGCGGTCGCGACTTTTGGGCGCCTGCTTCAGCAAGCGGCCACATTCTTTCAGGGCATAGCCAGTGGTGATGGAGATGCCCGACCTGATGGCGTAATGCACTGCCTGTTGCGTGACTCTTGACAGGAGGATCTCCATGTCTGGTCAGGTCAGTGGAGTGGTGTTCACGCGCTGAGCCACCAGACGGCAGACGACGTGAAGAGAAGTCGCCGGGGCACGTCAGCCACAGTGGCTTGCTGGCGCCCCTCGCTTCGATATGGAAAGTTTTTTAACCCTGGCACTTCTTTACATTTACCCCTCTGGGCTTCAGACACCGCGTTGTTTGCAAAAGTGACCACACCTCCGTTTCTTCCTCTCCTGCCCGCATACATCACCGCCGAATCGTCGCATATCGATTGACTCAACGGCAGCATGGCGAACGACCAGCCGCCAGACTCGTGGGAGGATGAGCATCTCGCCCAGCAGACGCAGCAGCAGATGAACTTTCAGAGCAGTGCCGCGCCTGCACGCCCGAACACATTCGTCCCCGGCGCAAACTCATTCACACCAGGCGCACAATCCTTCCAGCCAGCCCAGCAGTACCAGCAATATGGCTACGGCCAGCAATATGGACAATACCAGCAGTATGGACAATATCAACAGTACGGCTATGCACAGGGCCAAGGCCAGACATATGCGCAGTACGGTCAGCAGGGTGGAAACTATGGGAACAGCTCTCAACAATACCCGCAACCAGCACAACAGCAGTCATATGTTCCTCCCCACCAGAGGCAACAGCAGCAGCAGACCCCCATGATCGCCAAGCGAGGCGAGGCACTTCCATCAGGCAACCAGCAGCCTGCAGCGCCAAAGCCTGCAGCCTCAAATGGCGCAGTGAAGACGCTCTCCCTGAGCGCTGCTGATACTGGCGCTACAAAGCCGAAGGTCGAGAAGACTGGTGGCACCAAGGTCCTGTCTCTTGGCGGCACATCTGCACCTCCCTCCACAGCCCAAGAGAAGGAGAAGCCGAAGGAGGCCATCTCCAAAGATGCACCTGCCGCAGGTAACAAAGTCGCAGCCGCCAAGGCTGTAGAGAAGACAGGCGAATCTAGTGCAGCGGGCAGCGGCAGAGCTTCGCCAACTCCTTCTGGATCTGGACGCTCATCTCCATCCCGGGCTGAGACCAAGGCTGAAGCTCGCCGGGCTGATCTGGTTGCACAGGAACAAGCGAACGAGGTTGATGAGGAGGAGCTCAAGGAGATGTACGGAAAAGAGCACGTTAATGTCATCTTCTTGGGACATGTTGATGCAGGCAAGAGTACTTTGGGAGGAAGCATTCTCTACGCAACTGGTATGGTAGATGAGAGAACTATGGAGAAGTACAAACGGGACGCAAAAGATCTTGGGCGAGAGTCATGGTACTTGTCATGGGCTCTGGACCAGACAAAGGAAGAACGAGCCAAGGGAAAGACAGTCGAGGTTGGTCGAGGATTCTTTGAAACAGAAAAGCGACGGTACTCCATCCTTGACGCACCTGGACACAAGACCTATGTGCCAAACATGGTGTCTGGTGCTTCGCAGGCAGACATCGGAGTTCTTGTCATTTCTGCTCGTAAGGGTGAGTACGAGACAGGGTTCGAGAAGGGTGGCCAGACTCGTGAGCACGCCATGCTTGCAAAGACCCAAGGTGTGAACAAGCTAGTGATTGCTGTCAACAAGATGGATGACCCCACCGTGAACTGGTCAGAGGAACGATACAAGGAGTGCACGGCTAAATTGATCGCCTTCTTGAAGGGTCTTGGTTACAACCCCAAGACCGACCTTACCATCATGCCTATCTCCGCACAGACCACAGTCGGAATCAAGACACGAGTACCAAAGGAGACTGCACCATGGTACGATGGCCCATCACTGTTGGAGTACCTCGACTCCATGCAGCAGCTCGAACGGAAGCTCACTTCGCCATTCATGATGCCCATTGCCGCCAAGTATCGAGATCTTGGAACCATGATTGAAGGCAAGATCGAAGCAGGTGTCATCAAGAAGGAGAACAAATACTTGATGATGCCAAACCGCGCCGAGATCACCATCTCCGCATTGTACGGGGAGACTGAGGACGAAATTCCACACGCTACTTGCGGTGACCAAGTCCGCATTCGTATCAAGGGAGCTGAAGAAGAAGACATTCTGCCCGGATTCGTGCTCTGCTCACCGAAACGCCCCGTACACTGCGTCAACCAATTCGAAGCTCAAATCAGATTACTGGAGCTGAAGTCCATCCTGTCGGCCGGCTTCAACTGCGTCCTGCACGTCCACTCCGCCACCGAAGAAGTCACCTTCGCAGCTCTGCTCCACAAGTTAGAGCCAAAAACCAACCGCAAGTCGAAGAAGCCTCCGGGCTTCGCTAAGCAGGGCATGAACATCATCGCAAGACTACAGGTTACTGGTGCCGCTGGCGCCGTATGTGTGGAACGATTCGAAGACTACCCGCAGCTTGGACGATTTACGCTGAGAGATCAGGGTCAGACGATTGCCATCGGCAAGATCACAAAGCTGATCACGGATGCAGCTGAGGCAGCTGAGGGTTCTATCCAGAACACTGCGCCGTAAATCAGGACACCTTGTGTCGCCATAGGTGAAGACCAACGAAGTGAAATGATGGCACGGCGTGGGTCGATGAAGAAACGGCCTGGGTGGAAGGAGGTCGTACTTAGCATAGGTATCTATCAACAATGAATCTTAGAGTGGTCTCAAATATCCAAAGTCTTGTCGATTGTACGTTCAACGCGCTCATACTCCAAAGACTGACGATCCGATACCCCCCAAACACTGAGTAACGTCAAGAGATGAATCCCCGGCCTCTCAATCGCTTTCAAGCCAGTCAGGCTCCATGTCCTGGTCAATGTCTGGGTCCTCAGAAGGCAGAGAATCTTTGTCGCCCTGCTCCTCCTCTGATGCCTTCGAAGCTTGACGTCCATTTTCTGAATGACTTGGCGATCTTGTCGTCATCCGAGTTTGCGCTGGCTGTGCTACGTTGTCGGTGAGCTCTTGTTGCGTGTCCACCTCCATACCCGTGTCTGTAGCTGGCATATCACGGTCTTGCGCAGGCGGCTTAGTCGATATATGTGGTGCCGCTTCTCCCATGCTGTGCTCTTCAGTCTCATCCCCGAAAAGGTCCTCGTCATCATTCTCGTCTTCAGGTAGGAAGCCTCCTCGATTGTGGGAAACTTCTTCATGGATAAGAGGCTCGTCGTCGTCATGTCCAGTGTTGTTTCTTCCACCCAGAAAGCCACCCTCGTGGTCCTCCTCGACCATGAAACCGCCGGCTCCTTCGTCGTCCTCGGCATTATCGCCAGGTACGAAACCACCGCCATCTTCATCTTCGACCATGAAGCCCCCACCGCCATCCTTGCTGTCAAAGAAGCCTCCACCTTCAAGATTGTGCGTATCAAAGTCTTGCTGCATTTTGTCTTCACGCTCAGCCTCGGCATACTCATCCTCTTCCAGCGTTTCCATATCTGTATCACTATCGTGCTTTCGCTTGGGCTTCCGTGTAGGCTTGGATCCCATATTCAGCTCTGTCAACGTGAATTGACCTGCCGTAATGAGTGGGGCGTCATCAGCTTGCCCAAGCAAGAGTCCATGCGCATCATCCATGAACTCGTTGCCTTCGTCTGCCATCTGCTCGGAAGATTCTGCAGAAGGATCTGCATACGAACTAACTCTTTCCGCGACACGCAGGCCAGTCAAAAATCGCTTCCACATTTTCAAAGCCATCAAACTTCTTGCCCTAGATGCTTCTTCCTCCATCTCATCTTCGATACCATTGATAACCGCCCAGACCGCATCAGCATATTGTTCCGCGACAACGACACCATCGATAACTGCTGTGCCATGCCGACCTTGGAATTTGAAACCAGTTACCGCATCCGCAGAATCGACTTTCAGAAGCCGTGCAGCTCTCTGAGCAAGCAGATGTCTAATGTGCGTGCCACCTGGCGGTACCATTGAAGGCACATATATGTCTAAATTGCCATAGACATTTCTCGGTACGCGACCGCGCTGTACTGGGGGCGGCATGTAAAGCTGAGTCTGGAAGGGAGCATATAGAGGAGTCGTCGCTGCTTCTTCGTCCTCGTCATCGACTAACACATGCCGCCTCGTGCGTGCAGCAACATGCTTCAGTGGTTGCTCACCCTCCTTGATCTCGCGACCCACACGATACCACTTGTCCGCGCTTTTGCACACCTGGACATCTTGTCTACGAAATACGGGCTCCAGTCGAGGTTTGGCAGCTGTTCCAGCGTTCACTTTTCCCATTTCGCGTCTGGGATGGATTGTCTCGTGTCGTTTGAGATGGCGTTCTAGTGCATAATATGGATGATCTTTGAAGTCGAGAACGTTGCTGGGCATCCCCTCTCTCGCTTCTTTCTGTGCCAGCTCAGCATCCTCGACCTGTTCACGATCAAGCTTCCCACCGCGTCGTCGGAAGAATCGCATGACTGCCTTCCACCACTTTGCGCCATTCTGTGATGCTTCTACCCGATGTCGGCGAGTCTTCGCGTTGAAGGCTTTGGCGTAGCGTCTGGTCACGTCACGAGCAGTGCCATCGTCTTCGCAAGCTATAACATAACTCAATTGCCCAAGATCGTACGAAGCTGGAGGCTCCAATTTCGAGGCCTTGTTGACCGTGTTCGTCACTACTGCGTCGACAGCAATCCATTTCTGCTGCGCCTCGTTGAAAGCCTCTACCCAGAAAACAGGATACTGCAGTTTAGGGGCAGATTTAGTCTTCTTCTTCACAACCTGCGGCTTGCTTGATTCAGCAGCAAAGTCCGGCTGACCAAGACGTCTTCGCACTGAAGGGACTTTGCCTATAGTCTTGGAATTGCTGATAGATTTGTCGTCGTTGCTGCTGATCTTGATGGGAGAGGACGTCTGTGCGGAAAAGACTCTGTTCGGTGTGCTCCTCGCTTTGCTGGGTGTGCTGGACTTCGGAGCACTGCTGAACGGCAGCGGTTGTAATGAACAAACTATGCGAGCGTCGACGCCAACTGAGCGAAGCAACGTGCAAAAGAGTTGATTACCAAGATCCTGCGACCCTTCAAGATCCTTGGCCGCTAAGACGAAGTCGGAGCTATCAGTAGGTGTAAGTCCTGTCTCGCGAACCTCAGGCATGTCTCCATCGATATTCCAATGAGGCTTCATCAGTCCTGAACCAGTCACTCGGTATTCGGCATTGAAATTATTCACCGCCTGTTCAAGCCCGTCCATGAAAGACCGATTCCGCTGGAATTGTGTATCATTCTGTTTTGGATTCAAATATGACACAGTCTTCGAGCTTAGTACAGAGCGAACGTGGCGTTGAGCTGCAGCATTGTTGCATCTTCCATTAACGTACATGCAGTGACCAAGTAGGCATAGAAGATGAAGCTTGTGTACAAGCAGTCGATGCGCCTTCTCAACGGCCGTTCCGGGTTTGCGCCTGGGCAGGGCACTCTTTCTAGTGCTGCTCTCGGGCTCGACAGCAATAGACAAATCTTCTATGCCGTCCACTGATCCGTCGGAAACGTTGCCAACGCGATCGACATCAACATCTTCAAACTCTAGATCGCTTCCTTCCGACTCTGAAGAGTCCTGCACAGTCTGTAGCCTTGCCGGTTCTTGTGTAACGGGTGCCAAGGGTGTTGCAGAGACAGGCGAAGAAGGAGTGACCACATCTGCTGACTGGACCTCAACATCTGCCGGCCTCTCTAATCTCGGATTTGGAGCGACTCGTCTCCTCTTTAGCGGTCGATGTTCGGATGCAGCTTCTGCAGCTTCTGCCTCTGCTACCATGGATGTGTAGACATCAGCAACGTCATCGTCAGTATATGTTGATGCGCCTGGCCGCTTTGACCGTGTCGCAGGAGCTCTCGCAGCGCTCGCCGTCGACCTGACGGCAGCCTTGCCTTTACCTCTGCCTGGAGCCATGGCTGTGTCGGAATTGAGCCTCAAGACAGTGCAAGGAGGCTGGTAACGCGCTCATGTCACCATATCACGTGTCGGCAAGAGCATGTGATAGTGTGTCCGAGATGGGACTGGCGTCAGGCTTGCGCGCTGAGCATCATCGGGCATGAAATGAGAGCCTGCGTGTTCTTCAGATGTTGCCGAGTTTGTTGATATGCAGTGATATTATAGCTAGAATTGAAAGAGTCAGGTCTTGTTCTGACGTAGGGAAGCTTGTCGCGCTTTCCCGGGGCGTTGCGCGATGCGGGCCGCTTGTGTTGACTTGGGGCCAGGGCGCGACAACAAATCATGAATTGAAAGGCTTTCAAGCAACAACTCCCAGCGTCTTGACTGCTGACGGCGCCTTCGCGACTCTTCTCCCGCGCCTGGATGGAGACTTTTCATCACCCACCGACCCTTCTCTGAGACAAGTCGTCCGCCGCCGCCTCCTGAGACAGAGACACTTCCGCCAAAGGAACACACCACCCAGCACAACAACCCACTCGGCCGCACAGGACTGTCGACTAATCAATCAAAATGGAGAACTACCAGAAGATGGAGAAGGTCGGCGAGGGTAAGTCACTGTGGGCATGAGGAAGACGCATTGGGCGCAATGCTGATCGCTCTCCAATGGCTGCAGGCACGTACGGTGTTGTGTACAAGGCGCGCGACTTGACTACTCCCGACCACCGCATCGTCGCCCTCAAGAAGATCCGACTCGAAGCGGAAGATGAAGGCGTACCGTCCACAGCAATTCGCGAGATCAGTCTCATGAAAGAGATGCAGGATCCCAGTGTGTTGCGCTTGCTTAACATTGTGCACGCCGACGGCCACAAGCTGTACCTGGTCTTCGAGTTCATGGACCTCGATTTGAAGAAGTACATGGAGGCTCTGCCGGTCAGCCAAGGTGGGCGTGGCAAGCCATTGCCTGAAGGCGTACTCGAGGGCAGAGGACACTTTGGCCTTGGTGCAGAAATGGTACGGAATGCGATCGTTACTTGTCGCAAGCAATACTGACATCCGCTCAGGTCAAGAAGTTTACTCACCAGCTACTGTCCGGAATCCGCTATTGCCACTCGCACCGTGTCCTCCACCGCGACTTGAAGCCACAGAACCTTCTAATTGACAAGGAGGGCAACCTCAAGATTGGCGACTTCGGTCTCGCCCGTGCCTTCGGTGTGCCTCTGCGAACATACACTCACGAAGTCGTGACCCTTTGGTACCGTGCCCCAGAAATCCTGCTCGGCGGTCGGCAATACAGTACCGGTGTAGACATGTGGTCAGTAGGCTGCATCTTCGCCGAAATGGCCACCCGCAAGCCTCTCTTCCCCGGCGACTCAGAAATCGACGAGATCTTCAAAATCTTCCGTCTGCTCGGCACACCCACAGAGCAGGAATGGCCAGGCGTCACAAGCTTCCCCGACTTCAAGTCAAGTTTCCCCAAGTGGGAGCGCAAGCAGGACGATGAACTTGTAAACGCGGATGGTGTTAAGGTTCTCGGTGACGAGGGATTAAATCTGCTCGACGCGCTTCTGGTCTACGACCCAGCTGGACGCATGAGTGCCAAGCAGGCTGTGCATCACCCATACTTCACAGATGGCACCAAGATGTACAACAGCCGCACGAATGGGTTTCACTGAGGTTGCAGAGGTGATGTGACAGGAGGTATTTCATACGAGACTATGAGATTATGCGGTTGGGGAAAGGCTGGGTAAAATGGCAGCAGTGAATGCTGATGACCGAGGAGGTAAGGCTGTTCACACTGTTGTCTCGTATGTTACAAATCACTGGGCTGGAAAGGCGTGATATGTTGGTTCAGAGCATACACTTTGGTTGGGATATCGGCGTTTAATGCGGTAGACTTGCTAAGGCCGCGCGATGCATTTGACCGGGCGTGATGCGCAAAGGGCTTTTCAAACACTTGCATGCATGAGACTTGAAACTTTGAAACTGTATAACTTCAGACTTCCACAATTGATGCCTGGTTTCTTCTTTTCTCTTGCTGCTAATGCCGCTGCTTTTGGTGACGCGTCTCGCCACTGCTCTATCATATCTCTGTTTCGTTACTTCATGCAATGTTGTGTCTCGTGACTGTATGCTTTCGACGCAGCCGTCATTCTCAAAGCGTAGGTTGAGCAAGTCAATGCGCCTTCAAGATCTGGCCACCCTCGAACGTCTCGCCTGGCTCAAGCTTCTGCCAGCCATCAACGGCGCCGACCTCTACGCAGACCATATTCTTGTAGCCGTCTTTTGGCTCAAAGTCTCCCATGCCCTTTGCTTTCTCGATCCATGGGTTCCACACGACAGAGTCCTCGAGGTTGTCTCTCACGACATCCAAATGCGGCTTCCCATCCACCACGATCGAAGTCGTGTCCTGCTTGATCGACTTGTAGACGCGGTCAACCTCGCCAGTGATCTTGATCTGTGGATCTGTCTGCTGGTGCTCGGTTGCGTTCAGCATCTTGTCAATATAGGTGACGCTGCCGAGACCTGTGATGACAGTCTTGCTGATGTCGGAAACGGAGAAGTAGGAATGGAGAAGCATTTGGAACTCAAAGCTCTCCTTGCCTTGATTGCGCACGTTGAGCATTGTTTGCAGGCCGTCCTTGCCTGGGACTTGTAAGCTATGTGTGCCAGTTCGCAGTTCCTGCTGCCCAAACTTACCCAGTGTGACGGAGTATACTAGGCCAAACTCGTATGGCCACGCTTTCTTCGCTTCAGGAGCAAGGTTGGAGGAAGAGAGACCGAAATCGAGCTTGACGCTGTCATCGCCGCCCTTTGCCAAGAGGCCAGATTCGCTGCTTGAGCGACCTAGGTATTCCCATTGTGAGTTGCGGGCGAAGCCGTGCTGTGGCAGACCGCCGGTGGCATGATCTTTGGGTGGAGGACCGAAGGCCTGTTATTCCATCAGCAATGTTCCATCATGTTTGTCCATTCCCAAGATTCCTCTTACTGGAAAGACTACGGGAATGCCGCCTCTCACAGGCTTGCTGCCATCAAGCTTTGCAGCAGTGCTGAGCCAAAGGCGCTCTTTGCCGTTGCTCTTCCAGCTCGTCACGGTAGCTCCATAGAGAAGCACTTCGACAGAATCGCCAGTTGGCAGAGTCGCCGTGACTTTGTCGGACTCAGCGTGAACGCTGGGTTGTGGGCCGGTGGTGGACGGCGAGATGGCGGCAGGACGCTTCGGACGATCTGTCGGGTGTTAGTCTTGCTCTTGGCCTCACTGGGAGGAGGAACATACCCATCGTTAGCTCGTGAATGGAGGGACACAAACGCAGTCGTGGATGAGTGTAGAGGTCAGGTCAAGTGGAGAGAAAGACAGCCTGCGAGCAGTGACACTTATTTGTTGACTGATTCAAGATTGATGCACCGCTACGTGATGTGATGGTGGGGCTCTCGGACGTTTCAGATGTTGCCCTGCATTCGTCCAGCCATTGGGGCTTCACCGCGAGCGAACATCAACGAGGGAACAAGCCAAAATGGGCCTCCAAAAGGTGCATATCAACTCTACGAAATGTGCATGACGAAAATCGATCCGGCACTCGGCCATCTGCCAAATAGGAAGTCGCCTTCGAGCCGAACACCGCTGGTATTATTGCTACGTACAGAGCTCTATTATCCCTGTGCATCACCGTGCCCGCCTCCCAGCCTCGTGCACTTCCTTGCGAATCTCGAACAAGACATCATCAAACTGCCGCTCCTCCTCTTGCGACCCCAAAATCATGCTCTTACAATCCGACAAGATGCCGCGTAGGCGTCCAAGGATGCTAGAAGGCTGTGCTATCGGTCGACCATGCGTGGCTTGTTGACGCTCGCCGATATCTGCTGCAGCTGCTTGACCACCAGCCTCGTTGTCATCAGTATGCACGTCAGGCTCAGAGCGTCGAGTGGACCGTGATGATCGAAGACTCTCTCGCGAACGTAAGGCATCTTGCGAAAGCTGCACCTCGCGCTTTTTTCGAGCTTTGCGAGGCGCCGGCGTGTCTTCAATCCTACTTGTCACAGTCTCGCCCCCTGAGCTTCTGGTGCTCACTGCGGATGCGCTTCGCTTGAGACCAGCCACTGGAGCGACAGATGGTCTGCTGGAATCTTGAGAGCTTGCCTTCTTGGGAGGCTTGCCACGTCCTCGCTTGGCAGGCGCAACTGGCTCGGCTGGGCCGTCTTCAACGGGCGCCGCCTCCTTTGATTGCGCCGAAGGACTCGCCTCACGCGGTTGCTGAGAGCTGGCAGATGAAGGCACATTTCGTTGTGCAACTACGATCTCCTCTCCAATGTCATCGTCATCATTTTGGCTGGTTCGACAAATCATTGACATGAGTCTATGATATGGAGATTTTGGCTCTTTCTTCCGCGGAGTGAGAGCGGTCTCGGACACGCGCTTGCGCTTCCTGGTCGTCCTCGAACCTTCCACTCCGTCTGTTCCAGCGTCCGATGGCGTGGCTTCAGAAGCACTTCCAACTCCCACGATCGAGTTTTCGATTCGAGAGGGAGTCTCAGGGGCATCTTCTGATCCACTCGTGCCTCTCGGATATTGATCGGTTGATGGTAGAATCGCTGTCTGATCGCCTTCCGCCTCTGCCTCTTCCCGCTGAAGCTGCGCATTGGGTAGATGAGTGTCGGAAGGCAAGTCGGAAGGCAAGTCGGAAGGTTCTTGACCTTCCGTGTCGGCCGTATCGTCTGTTAGCTGTCGTACTTCAGCTGCGATATCGTGCGCAGTGGCAAAATCCTCGGCCGTTGTACCTTCCCGACCATCCTCTTGTTCCTGTGCTGGCTCATGCTTATCGTCGTTTCGAGGAGGCGAAGACGGCGGGTCGACGTCGGTCTCTTCTCCTTCACTTGGCTGATCAATTCCATCGTAGATACGAGTTGTACCACCACGAGGAGTTGGTGATGACGGCAGATCATCACTCATCGGTCCCCCCTCGACGGGACCTGTTGGCGTAACGTTTACACCTTCCTGTGCGCCTTGAGGCGGATCGGTGGAGAAGTCGAGCTTTTTGGAAATGTTCTTGGTAGACGTCGATCGAGCCATGGGGCTCGACGACAACTCTGGGAAGACTTGTGCATCCTCGTACTGCCTAGCACGAACGTCCTTTTGATGCTCAGTAAGCAGCTGCGACTCCATAACAGCTGGCGCTGTAGGAGGCTCTATCGGAGCAAAGTCGACTTGGGAGTCATGGTGGCGTAGCCTCGCTTTTGGTGCAGGACTGCAAGAAGCAGTTGCGCGTGCGACAGCGGCTGCGTCAAAAGGCAAACCTTGTGCTGCCAGATGCTGCTTGATGAAAATGTTCTCGGCAGCCGGCGCTTTCCACGTATGAGGCGCTGACTTTTTTGAGCTCAGTGCACGTCGGTGGTTGCTGATTTTGACCTGCGACTCGGCAAATGCTGGCAGTCGTGCAACCTCGCCTTGTCCTTCGCCTCTAGGGAAACCAGGAATGTTGAAGCCTGCCTGAGCTTGCCGTGCGCGAAGTAGAGGCAGTAGCCTCATCGGATACTCGAGCTGCTCCTGATCCGCAAAGTTGGACGTCCAGAACAATATCGCTTGGTTGACAATTTCTCTGCTTGGGCTCGAAAACCCGGCTATCAAGATTGGTTCCAGGGCTCCCAGGAGTGTGCTATCTTTCTGGACATATCCATCAGAAATGACTCGCAACAAAGCGCTCCATACATCCTGTACCCGCGACGATACTGCCGAAGAGTCATCGGCATTGGAAAGCGTAGCCAGGAATACGATGCGCTTGGTGTCTTCGATCCATGGCACAAAGCCAGCTTGAAACTTTCGAATGGCGATAGGTAGTACAGCATGCGGACACTTGCGGAGAAATTCCACTGTCGAAACGAGAGCCTCCACTGCAGCTTTTCCTAGCTCTTCTTCTGTCGTTTCGGCCTGGTCGTAAGCTCGTTTTAGACAGCTGTTGAATAGATCATAGAAGTGATCGAAGGACTCGAAGACCTGAGCTTTAGGCGGCTCCAGATGAATCGTCCAGAGAGCTTTGCGGCTTGTCTCAAGCTCAGCCTTACTCTTCGGCCATACAGCATGCTTCACTAGCATGCGATATAAACGCAATGTCGTGCCAAGAGGAGCAGAGCTTGTCTTCTCCGAGACGAGCTTCGACAAACGCTCAATGACATCCAGAACAACGCCTCCATCCCCTGCAATGTGTTTGGTTGAAAGGCACGTAGCTTCCATTAGCTGTGCCAAGTCCTGCAGGCAATCGTGGGAAGACTCTGCAAAGCACAAGCCTTCGAGCAGGATGTCGATTGCGAACCTCACCGACACACCAGCGATACCTGCATCACGCTGAGGAGATACAGATGCTTGGACCCGTAACAACGTTCCTGCTGATACTGCGATTGCACTCCATAGCTGTCCCCGTAGATGCTCGGAGGTATTGCTGCGTATCTTGGCGCAAAATTGCAGCGTGTTGTATAACAAGCCAAGATTACTCGAAGCGGAACCTTTAGCACCGGCCAGCAAGCCTAGCAGCCAGCCCGCAGAGTCTCTGCACGTAGCCTCGAATTGCAGCGCTGGCGGCGGCTGGTAGTAAAGTGAGTAGAGAATGGAGAACGCACAGCATGCCGATTGACGGTGCTTTGACGGCCGATGCGATGGCGTAGGAGCCACTTCAACGCCATCTTCATTGGTCATCGTCAAGACGTCCTCCACGAAATATGACGGGCCTAGTATCCCAATAGCATCGCCTAGTAAAGATTGGTAACGATCAAGCCATGCTGAATAGCTCGTGCTGGAGGCCTGAGAGGGAGCAAACCAGATTCTCCGAAAGAGGTTTGTAAGGTGTGCTATTGCAACCTTTAGCTCAGCAGACGTTCGAACTTCTTGGGCACCGGCCCCAGCAACAGCAGTCATGAGCGAGCGCCAGATACTAGTCAGAGCCTTGTTAGATTCCGTAGATTGAGACATGCCTGCCAGGATCCAGGGTTCGAGCAGTTTGATGAATTTATCGAGGCGAGATCGTACCCACCGAACGTCCAAGCGCGGAAGATCATCAGCCTTGATAGGTTCTTTTTCGGTCGCGGCATGCTCGTTCCATGCTCCGGTGGTCTTCTTAAGCAAGCCATGGAGGATGCGACATGCAGAGAATTGCCCGCGAGCGCTATGCTTGGACATGACAGCCAAGATGGGTTGGACGAAATTGATCCAGGCACGATCGAGTTCCTCGGGCGATAGCGCCGGCCTCAGCGCGTAGTGTAGGAGGTTGCAGTAGCTGTCCACTGCAATTTGACGCATCTCTTGCGAGGTCTTGTCGCTACCTTTCCTCTCAAGGCTAGCCGTGATAGGCACCTTGAGCATCGAATAAAGAGTGTCCGAAGTGTTGCCATCGGGCATAACCGTGTATACCAGCTTGTTCCAGGCAAATGTCGCATGTTGTTTGACTTCCACGTTACCCGAGTTCAGGCTCTTTTGCAGCGTCAAAAGCCAATCGCGAAATTTTGACCACTTGTCTATGCTGCGCCGCCTGTTGCGGAAGAACAGAATCACAGCTGCCCATATCTGCGGGGCCACCACCGCTTTCGCTGGATCTTTGCTGAGCTGAGTGAGGTGATCATTGAAGAAGTCGCCGTAGCTCTTGCCATTCTCAGTCTCCTTGTCCCAAAGTTCATGAATCGCTCGGGCAGCGGCCTGCTGATGTCCCAGATGGAGTCCAGCCGCGGTGCAAGTATTAATGGCACGAGTTTGAACTTCCGAAACACTGCTCAGTAGTCCATGAAACACATTCTCGATCCAGTCCGAAATCCTGCTCAGCATCGCCGCCGGAGCTTGCTCGATCAATCTCTGATATATCATGAGACGAGCAACTACTGTGCTGGTCCGATCCTCAATCTTCTGCAGTGCGTTCACCAGCTTTTCCACCCTGGTGGTAGTCAAAATGTTGGTTTGGAAGCGCTGCACGGCGAGCACGTGCAGATGTACTTTCAGTATCGCCCTTGATAGATCGACTTGCTCTAAGCAAGTGATGCATCGATCAGCGACGAACGCTCGAAAATCGTCATCCAGGGCAGCAGCAGACTCTTTCATCGTGAGGATCGAGCATGCCAACTGCGCAGCTTGCGTCACAATCTGAGTGTCGAGAATGCCAGTAGGGTCCTTCCAGGCCAAGTCTCGTGCCAGAAACTGCTGGAGGAGATCGATCTTGTCGATGACGGCTTGCACCTCTGGAAGTCCTTGATACGCTTTAATCACGCCATTTATGGACATGTAGGCGTCTCTGCGAGTGTCTCTCGACGGACTCGACAGTTGCTGAATGATGGCCTGTAGCATCTTTCGAAAGCTGCCCGGAATCTGAGGAGAGAAGTTGCTCAGTTTGTGGTCGAGGTCCTCTGGAGTCAAAGGCGTGCGCTCATTTTGTGCTTTGAGGATGGACTTCAGCGGTTTTGTTTCGCGAGATAGTGGCGTCTGTCGTTGAGCACGGCTGTCTGGTGAGCTAGACACACCAAGATGCGGAATATCGTGATATGTCGGCCACGGCGAGAAGCCGACCCTCTTTACTCCATTCGAACCTCGGGGCTGTGGTGATACTGCCGTCGGTTTGGAAGGTGGCGTGTCCACGGCCGAGCGAGCCGTGACCGGCAGTAGCTCTTTCTCCCTCTCTGCTTCCTTCCCCGCCTGACCAGGCTCGTCGTGTCCCTGGTCGAGGAATCGCAGTGCGTCGTCTACGTGCTTGTTCACGTCTCGTGGTGGTGTCGGCGGGCGGGCGGGAAGCTGGTTGAAGACGGACGACGAAGATGCTGGCGACGACAACATGGCTGGCAGAGAGCACGCCGGACAAGAGGCTGTTCAAGTCTGGATACGCATTTCGTGACTCCGAGTGAGCAGAAAGTGTGTGCTCATGGAGAGAGATGGACGTCAAGATGCAATGCCCTTCACTGAGGAGGAGGTAGAGCGCGAGTCGAAGTCGCGTCGAAACCACTTTACGATACCGTACGCGACGACCAGGGTCCAATTCCAGCCACCCGCGCCTGCCTCGCGTTCGCGTTCGCGGTGGTTGCAGTTGCACTTTGCCGGCGTGTGGGGTCCGTTTCTGCGGGGCACGGGCACGCTGCGCTGCATGCACATCATCGTGAGCATCGTGAGGCACACTGCTTCTTGCTGAATGATTCACGCAGCTGTCTGCCAATAGTTCTAATTGATCCGGACATCAACACGCGACATTCGCTTGACGTGAACCTTGTGTGCATCGCCTCATCTACGGGACTTTGCCCATCATCATCATGCTGGCCATGCGACCGCAGACGTCCCCCGTCGACGGCAAGTCTGCCCAAGGTGAGCGCCAGCAAATCGTCGTGCTGTGGGCACATGCTAATGCGTTACATGCTTAGCCGCCATCGCGCAGCTCGACCGCCTACTGCTCGAATTAGAGCGTAATACTGAGGCTGCCAAGCTCTCCTTGAAGCGTAAGTCTTGCTCCCCTCTTGACTCGGAACCGAATGTTGACACGGCTTCAGAACAGGAAGACGCACTGAGCCAAGTGAAGGTGCTGGGGCGCAATGCAGACACTGCGGGGCCCATCTTCACGAAACGGGTCTGTAGACATCCCAATGTGGCAAGTTGAGTAAGGCTGACTTGGAACGATAGGGCATTTCAATTTTGTGCACATATGCACTCGATCAACCTGCTTCAAGCATTGCATCGCGAGAGGCACTTAGATGTTTAGCAAATGCCCTCCTTCTCAACGAGCCTTCAAGACAAGTATTCGTTGATCTTGGCTATGGTCCCAAGGCTGCAGATCGATTGAAGAACGACAATCGCGATGATGAATTTCTGCTGTCACGAATACTGTTCTTTCTCACTTACAACACAAAGATCGACTTCAACGTCTTGATTGCCGAACATAAGCTGGCAGACAGCATCAACCAACACATCGCCCGCCATGCGAAGAACTTCTCGAAGTCTGGGCGAAGAAAGTCTCTCAGCTCCCCTATCCAGGATATGGCCATGGTGGAGACACTGAAGCTGATGTTCAACATAACCTACTACTATCCGCATCAAGTCGCCAAATTCACGCAATCTGTCGAACCATTGATCAATATCATCCTCCACCACCCTCTGCCCAAACCACCGCTACAGCCACCCATCACCTACGTCCTCAACGCACTGCTCAACTTGGATCTCAAAGCAGCTGAGAGGAAGACTCCAATGGGAAGAGAGGCAAGATCAAGTCCTCTCTTCCCATATTCTGACCCTGAGACTGTCGTGGACAAATTGGTGAGCATCTTGGATGCGGCAATTCGAGCCCAGCCAGAAAAAGAGCTGGATCAAGCTGCAGCTCCTCTATGCACGCTTCTAAGGCGCATGTACGAGCTGGCCACCCCTCAAATGAAATCGTGGATGAGATGGCTCTTGCTACCCAATCCCAAAGATCGCGACAAGCCCCTTGGCCAGGGCGACACACTATCATCGAGGCTACTACGACTGTCGTGCTCACCAAATCTACCCACCTTACGTGGCAATATTTCCGGTCTCTTGTTCGAGCTCAGCGATAAAGATGCCACCAAATTCGTCAACAATATTGGTTATGGATTTGCTTCGGGCTTCTTGATGAGCCAAAATATTCAGGTTCCTGCCAACGCCATGGAAGCTGGCAGCATAAGCAGTAATGATGATACGGAAGGTGGTGCAGATGTGAACCCCATTACGGGTCAAAGACTCAGCGCGGAGGAAAGGGACGCGCCGAAGCAACCAGAGATGACAGATGAGGAGAAAGAGCGCGAGGCCGAAAAGCTTTTCGTGCTCTTTGAACGACTCAAAGCGACCGGTGTGGTCAATGTGAAGAATCCTGTTGAACAGGCTATCGATGATGGCCGGTTCGAGGAACTAGACTGAACAATCTGCGGGGGGTGACGGATCCCGGCTCTTCATACGATTTTGTTGATATGCTGGGCTTTCCCAGCTCATTGCATCAGCTCGAGTCCAGAGCATGTCTCGAGCAACGTCTTCGTGTGGAAAGTTATCCAAATGCGACCAATCCATTTCTGAGACACTTGGAAGGCATGAACCCCGGAAGGCAAAAATCCGACACACGAGAAAGTTTGTTTCATACTGCCTTCCTCTTTGAAGAGACCGGAAGCGAGTTCAAGTCACTATGCGATAGTTTTCATCGATCACGAGACTTGCTGATACGTTCGTTAATACGGGCTGATGTTTGCTGGGCCGAGAGCGGGCCGCGCACCAAAAGAACGTCTATGTATACATCCGAGCACCCAATAAGCATAAAAGGATGTCGAAGCCAAACTCCATGAGCAGCACACTGGGCTTTATTGAATCTACAGGCAGCTACGCAGTCCTGATAGTGCAGCATGTCCGGGCATACAAGCTTTACTATCAAGCAGTCCTAACACGACGACATCGTGAGAGAAACACTCGCTGCGATGGGGTACCACGGCCAGAGGCACAGCCAGAGCAAGAACATACTAAGTCCATCAGAATACCCAAAGAGGTAATTGCGATTAGCATCGAAAGCTGTCCAGGCAATTATGGCCACGGGAGGCCTCGGCGAGGTGGGATTATAGTATAGGTCGCACCCAACGCTCAAGCGACCTGAAGAAATGTTCTATCCGGACTGAGGTGCCAGAAATGGTTGCTTGCAAGACCTTGAAATGCAATGCATGGGCTTGGCACACGAGCCTGCCCTTATGTAATCTCCCGAACTCCGCACCTCTGCGCTCTCTCGCCCTTCTCTCGTAAACAGTGTGTGATAGACGTGATGCGCTCCTTACTTCCACATCCCACGATGAGAGGCTATTCTTCAGTTTCACGGCCGCCGCCGCCGCAACCACGCCCATACAAACCACTATTACCCGAAGAGCGGGTTTCCAGTCATCCTGCGCTGCCAGAGGATACAGCTCCTGTCAAAAAGCCAAAGTCAGGTCTGCTTTCGCGAATGTGGCCATCGACAGCGTCATCGGCAGTCATACATGCTCGAGACCGCGATCCGGCGAGAGGAATGGAGGCAGCTAGACGCGTAGTTCAAGACGGTGTACTCGACCCACGCTACAAGTCGGCAGCTCAGAGGTACACAGCTATCATTGTCGCCTTGCCGCTAGCTATCTACCTTTCGTACGAGCTGTATCAGAGACGCTTTACGGGCAAGCAACGACGGGGAGCGAATGTTGCTCCGGCTGAGTGAAATCCACTGCGCACGACCGGAGTTTCACTTGACACAAACGAGTTCACAGCAACATGGTCTCGACGATGGGGGAAACGCCGTGAACTCGATGTCTCGAATCGTACTACCTCGAGGCACAAATAAATATGCATAAGCCCCACAGTTCATCGCAACGCCGTGCTCGAACGCAGAAATGCCCGACTATTCATGAGCCATACATCCCGATTACCATGCAGCGTGGCCCCCATCAATGCGCAAATCTGATCCTGTCATGAACGACGACGCATCGCTGATAAGGAAGACGGCAGCGCCGCGATACTCCTCGGGAGCACTGAGCTTGCCCAGCATGTTTTGCGTTGGCCAATCCCGTCGTCTTTCTGGATACTTCTGGAACAAAGCTTCCACCATAGCGGTTACAATGTAGCCGGGAGAGATGGTGTTGACCTACACAAGAAAGGTCAGGATGTCAGAAGTGAAGGCAGCGGCGCCTGGTCTGCTACTCACGCGAATGCCGTGTTGTCCCCATTCCGACGCAAGGTTTCGTGCAAGCTGTATAACACCGGCTTTTGAGGCATTGTAGGCTGGGCAAATCAGACCCTATGTTTCATTCAGCAAGCGGTTCAAGTGGCGATGGCAGTGCAGGACATACCCTATTAGCGACTGTTCCCGACATCGAAGCGATCATGGCAATGCTACCGCCACGGCCATGTCGGATCATCTCTTTGGCCACGGCTTGAGCGGCCATGAAGACTCCAGTGATATTTACCTCAAACATGGTGTTGGCGTCCTTCGCCGAGTACTCTAGCGCAGGAGTCTCCTGCTGGATGCCAGCCGCTGCGATTAGCCCATCCAGTTTGCCCTGCGCTTCAGAGATGCTGCGGACAATCTCGTTCAGCTGCGGCACATCACGAACATCGATTTGGCGGTAGTGCAAAGTTGTGCCTGGATCAGTCAGCACAGGCATTCCCGAGCAACGCCATCATTTTCTCACCAAGCTCTTTCGCAGCTCGTTCTTGTACGCGGTGAAAGTCGGGACTTGGCTCCGACAATCTGTCCAAAGCATAGACGGTTGCTCCAGCTTCCAAAAGAGCTTCGGCCTGAACTAGGCCTAGCCCTCTTGCAGCACCCGTAACCAAGACGACTTTGTCGTTGAGATTGAACTCTGGAAGTCTCTTTGTGGTTCCCAGATATGAAGCAGACTTGACGTTATCCTTCAGAGCTGCTGCCTCTTCGCGCGGAGCATCTGGAGGCGCACGGCCAGCTACTGGTGGATTTCCTTTAGGTCCGTTGGTTGCGTCATGGTTCGATCGACTTTGCAGTACTGGAACTGCGCGTGGCACAGGTTTCGAGCGGCTCAGTGCTGAGCCAGCAATGCGTGCACTCCGTGCGAGGGAAGTCATCGTGGATTCTAGACCTTATGGTGGGGGGCTGAAGACACTGGAGGCGGTACTTCTTCTCCGACTTGTGTGAAGCTCCGCAGTAAGGAATTTGTACAACTAAGAGGCAAGTAGCAGATCTGCACCGCTGATCGCCGGGAGAAGGAACTTTTTATCCAGAGGTCCAGCAAGGTGGATCATGTATTCTGGCCAACATTGACTTCGCGCCACAATAATGCCTCTTCTGGCATAACGAGCTCCTTTTGCTCCATGTGCTTCGCGTAGCTGTATACGCTGCGTGCAGCCCCGCTTTTACATGGAATTGCTATTTGCAGTAATCCGTGTGTCACTCACTTCCTTCGCACGTGGATTTCTAACATGCACCCGGACGGCCTTGATCTTGATGCTCGGGACTTGCAAGTACATGCATGTTTGTAGACCTACGTAATAGAGTCTTTAAAAGACAGGTGCAGGGATAACGATTGAACTTCGATTTCTTGGAGGACTTTGCAAACCAAATACAGCCGCACACCGTGACGGCTACGTCAAGAGCCGACATGCTTGCTCCAACTCGAGCTTCAAGATATTTCAGCTGTGAGTCGTACTGACTTGATGACCTCTGGCGATTCTCATCTACGCCCTCGCTCCAACGTCTATTGGTAAGTACCTAATAGCTAGCTAAACATACACCAGATTGACAACTTGTTTTGCTTCAAATCCTCGGCAACCACCCGGTCGACTTCTCCCAGGCTTGCTCAACAATTCAAGCAAACAATTTGAAGGAGCAGCTTCGACGCACACTGCAACCTTCCGACATATTCTGACTAGCCGATATCGATGAAGAGACCGATAGGACACGGTGCGTAATTCTCAGTGTAGCTGAGGTACGAATCGGACACCCCCTCCCACAAGATGCCCATGGTTTCTCCAGCAGGACAATCTATGGCTTCGACCATCTGGTCATCGCCCGGAATCAGCACCTTCTCGGCCAACCTGTACTTCACGTACGGTGCATTGCCGAGTGAAGTATTTGCCATCGCCGGTTCTTCCAGCATGAAGAACCTGAACAAGTGCTCCTCTTCGCCCGAGTATACGAATGAGGATGGATCGATCTGTGTCTCGTTCGGGAAGAAGAACCAGAAGGCGCATGTCTTGTTCACTGCAGAGGCCGGAATGTCGAAGTTGAGAATGCTGGAGATATGGGGGCCAGCGGTAGCGTTCTTTGAAGGGCCCGAGGGGATGTGGGGGAAGGACTGGTTCAATGGGACAATGAGTGAAGGGTGCTGTACGATCGTTAGAGGTGTTGGAAGGCTCGGTCAAGAGAACATACCCCTTCCTCCTTCTCTGCCACATTTGCACGGCACCAGGATTGATTTATGGGCCATGGCGAGTGCGACGCCGAAGCGCCCAAAGCCGTCGCGAGGATGGTTGTCGACCAGCGCATGATTGAAAGGAGGCAGTGTTATCGCAAGGTGGGATTCGATCAGAAAGAAGAGATTGATCGGAAGGAGTGATATTGACGAGGAAGTTATCTTTATATTCTGAAGATCTAAAACCTTCGATGTGCGCAAAAAAATTGTGAGCTGTCAGCAGGAATAGAAGCTGCGTTGTTGAATCGTCTGGCCATATAAGCTTAAGGAGATGAAAATAAGTTCAGCAGCCACCATGGATCGAAAGATGGAATTAGCGATGTAGAGTCACTGTGGCCACTGTGAGCAATCTATTGCAAAGAGATGCCATTGTACTCCTCCACATGGTCACCGTTGATCACTCTGGTTGTCTCCACTTCAAAGCTCCGTCGTCCACTTCTTTCGATGAAAGCAGCGCTGAGAAAGCCAACACCTGAGTGACAGCGTTGATATTGCACTGTGCAGAACGTTCGCGTGGTCGACATCGATTTGGGTCGACCCGAGCAGCCTGATCGGTACTGCACACGTTACTCTTTCTACGCGGCTTCATTCGGGCTAGTCAGGTGCGACAGTCCAATATTTGATGGTACCGCAAATCTTGTTGCCTGGGGCTCCTTCATTTCGGAATTCAATAATACTGAATACGACAAGTGTGAAGTAGACGTCTCCATAGGTGCACACGGTTTTTTCCCCATGGCAGGTATCGACCTCCATGCGCCCTCGAAATCGAGCCGAAAGTGATCTTTTGTCCAGTTCGCAGCTTGCGAAGGGGAGGCTACTCAGCTGGCCTTCTAGGTGTCCCGCCTGCTTGCTTAGAATACGGAAGCCAAGAATCTGATGCGCAGAATCTTGGCAGAGTGGTATGGAAGGGAATCGAGCAACGAACGCAGAATCGGTAAACGGCAAAGCTGCCGGCGAGTCAGATTACTGTACGTTGCTCAAACGGTCACGCGGAGACCATCGTGGCTACTAAACGTAGCTTCCGCTCAGCCTTCCGGCTATGCTGTCCTGTTTCCCGGTCGATCTCACATCGTTCAAAGCATATGGCGATTGCGCTCAGAGATGTTTAGTAAGCGCTCCGGTACAGCTCAAAAAGACCTCGCAGACGCTGTCAGACTAACGCGGATGCTCTCGGAATGACGAGTCATTGGCTTCATAGCGCTAATGCTGTGTCCAGCCATATTAGAAAAGATCCCAAGTGATGGTGCTTCATATTTGCCCAGTTCGAACTACCAAACGTCGACTTTCTAGCATCTGCTTTTGGGAATTGGCACAATGCCTTTCGAACTGGCTGAAAAGTACTCACACCATCATCTTATCGTCCAACCAAAGGTACTACCCAGCATGATGGCCCCGAGAAACGAGCCAAGGGTAACTTGATTTCCAGGATTTGGAACTTGAGCCTCCGGAAAGCTATCTTTTCATTCAAGATGGCCTGATCATCTCATGTGGCGTGCTGTACTCGCTTTGTTACCTGTTTTATATGTTACGAACTGTCAAGGATAAGACACTATCTGGATATGTGGAGTTCCTCTGCGGCACGATGGCCTACGAAGTGTACTATGCCTTCACGACAACTTCAACAACTTTCGAGAAGCTCAGCTTCCTAGTATGGTTCCTGCTGGATGCGACCTTCGCCGCTGTTGCCGTACTAACCGCCTACAAGCCTGAAAGGAGAGCTGTCGTGACTGCGAGACTCGTAGGTGGAGTAATAGTTGGCGTTGGCTTCCTGCATGCGCTCTGTCAATACTTCCCGGATGAGCGCCAGCAACTCACAGCATACTGGACCGGCCTTCTCCTTCAGCTGCCGATCGGATGGGGATCAGTGATATTGATGTTGAGCAGAGGAGACACAAAGGGTCATTCGATGGAGATTTGGTCAGTCACCTTTGACGAATCTGTAAGCCGTTCACTTACATATCTAGGGTGACTCGCTTTTTGGGTTGTGTCACTGCCTATGGCGTTTTCTATTGGCGATACTTCAACGCTCCCGACAACTGGCCATATGTGGGCTCAATATGGAGTACGCTCATCATCGCATTGACAATGCTACCGGAATTCGCGTATCCTGTGATATGTGCGTAATGTTGCATCCCTTCGTCGACTTCGAAGGAGTTGAGGGGCTTACTTTGAACAGATTTACGGGTACTCAAGCATCAGAAGGACAAGACGGAATAGTCAAATCTGTAACCTGCGTTACTGCTACACCTTTTCCACAGCCTCCGACCGGCTCTCGTTCTCCATCCGAACAGCCCGCTGCATCAACTTCTTCTCCGGAGGTATCGTTGTTGTGAACCCGGCACATACCACAGCAAGGATACCAAATGCTATAGCGACCAAGTACACTAGTCGGAAGGCCTGTACGTATGCCAACTTCACAGCCATCTGTAGGTCCTCGATGATTGCTGCACTTATTCCTGAAATTTCGGAAAGTGCTTTCCAGCCCGCCGCAGAGTTCGTGGTGCCAGCCTGTAGTAACTCAGGGACAAGACGACGTGGAATCTGGTACTCCTGAACTACGGATCCGATTTCGGCCGGCAATTGCTGCGCAAAACGATTTGACAGAATGGCAGAATAGATCGCGGTAGCAACAGCGCCTCCCATGAGACGAAATGTCGAGGCAAGTCCATTCGCAACGCCGATGTCGACTTGGTCGTCCAGCCCCGCAGCGATCATAACAAATGATAAGAGCTGCGGAGGGGTAATAGTTGTGGCGAGGACAATGATTGTGACAATCGCTTGAACTCTGTCGTTGACACCGATTGTCGAAAGGGATCCAATCAAAGCAGTTTGTACGGCCATAAACCCGACCAGCTGCCACCGCTCGTGTCCGACCTTATGACAGAAGAATATGACAACAAGGCCGGCCAGTATAGTACCGAATGAGACCATGTTCGCATAAACCCCTGCGATGATCGGTTGGTTGCTGGGCACGAAAAGGAGTCCAGATTGGCGAGGCCAGAGTACGTTCATGCTGTAATAAAGCATACCTCCTACAAAGCAGATAACGAGAATCATAGTGAAGCCTCGAACGTTTCTGAAGAGCACAGGAGGCAACATCGGATATTTCAAATTCGCATAAGCTTCCCAAAACCCAAGAGCAACCAGCAATCCAGCTCCGACAACAATGGTACTAGTCACAGGTGCACTGGACCAGGCATATTGTCTTCCGCCCTGCGATGAACTGTCAGCCCGTCTGGCCCCGACGCATTCACAGAAGTTGTGATCATACATAATTGACTCCGATCAAGAAAAGTACGGCGCCGGACGCGAACAGCAAGAAGCCAACGAAGTCCATTTCCTTGACGAGTTGCATCCTGCTCTTTCCGTCGGCTCGATGCTTCGTGTGGAATGTCGGAGGCTTGTAGCAGAAGAGTACAAGCAGGAGTCCACAAGCTTCGAACGAGAACAAAAACCAATATACTGTCCTCCAACCAAGCGCGGTGCGGGCGATCATCGTATACGCGATCATAGGGCTCACGAAAGCCAGCAAACCGGTCGATTCGAAAATTCCAATCGCAAGAATACGATATTGATTTGGCACGATTTCTTGGACGCATGCGAATGCCATTTCTGCGATCAAAAGTCAGCTTTTTATTGCCGCAGACCAGCTTCGTCGATCCTGATGGATACCTTGAAGTCCACCTCCAATACCAAACAGAGCTCCACTCGCAATCATCTGGTTGATACTCTTGCCTGTCGCGCCGACGACAGCTCCGATCAAAGCTATGCAAGCTCCGGTGATCATGAAGTAGCGACGACCGAAGATATCCGAAAGCCGGCCGCCTAGTGTCACCATGACACTTGCTGCGAGGTTCCAGGAGACGTTGATCCTCGTCAACAGTAAGCTTTGCATGCTTGCGAGATGAATGCAAGAGTGCTCACCATGTGTAGTTCGGGTCTGGTCCAAGGTCGGCGTTGATGTAGCTCACGATCGTGCTGGGCATGAGCAGCGTCAAGATGTATGCGACGTATTGTGAGGAGACGGCCTACTGGTGTCAGTGCTTCTTAGAAGGCCGTGCTCGTGTCGCAGGCCTACAGCGAGCGCCAGGTAGGCTTGGGGGCTCATTCGAGCATCTTGTGGCTGGTCCTCTCCGATGGAAGCAGCTTCCGGATTAGAGACATCTTCAATACGCTCTGCAGTGTCTTGTTTCTCCATGGTGACGAGACTAACTATTTGAGGATGAGAGGAACTTGAATATCAAGAGTTCATGCATTTTAGGAGGTGTGCTGACCTTGAAGAAGATATGCCACTATTCTCGTGCGTGTCACCCCACTGCCTACCTTTATCCACAGCAGTATACAAGCCGCATACGCACAAAATTATACACGTGGCGTGCTGCGTCTCAAGTGCCGGAAGCCTGGCTGGCGATAAGACTAGAGTCTGTCTTCGCATCGGTCGAGGTGTGCAGTGGAGATTGCGGAGTGAAGCACTCGGAAAACGTAGTCCGGGGTATGCATGTCTATGCTTGTCTGTGCACATACAAATGCTGGATGTTTTGCTCATCTGCGAGACTGCGACTGATTTCGTGAGTATTCTCGTACTCTCAATGGTGCTTCTGCTCCCGTCGTAAGTATGGCCATCCCCATTGCTCGCCGACCTCTCAAAAACGCGGACTTTTAGACGGTCTCGATGTACCTTCGCACTTCCCTACGATATGTCAGTATTGCACCCGGCGCTGTACGATCAAATCTTACCAATCAGTGATAGCTTCATCCCAAAGTCTGATTTCATGCTCTCGAGTTCCAGCAAAATGATCTACAAAATCGTCACCAAAGACTTCGCGCGCCACGCTCTCCTTTCTTGAGAACTGAGCAGTCGCGTCCTTCAAGCTCTTAGCTAGGCGTTGGCCTTTGTCTGCGACTCCACCGACATCTTGACCCTTGCCTAGAGGCGGTATGGGAATTTCGAGTTGTTTTTCCACACCACGATATCCAAGGCCAAGAATCGCTGCTAGGACGAGATATGCATTCGTGTCCGCGCCCGGCACTCGGACTTCCAACCTTGTGCCCTTAGGAGGGCAAGTAGGAGGCGCGATTAGTCTGATGGAAGCAGCACGATGCTCCAGTCCCCAGGATACTGTTACCGGTGCCCAAAAGTTCTCTACAAGACGTTTGTAGCTGTTGACAGTGGGTGCCACCAAAGGCATGATGTCTGCCAGACCATCAAGAACGCCAGCAAGAAAGTGTCGACCAATATCTGAAACATGCTTCAAGTCTTCGTATGGAGGATTTGGATCAGCCTTCTCGCGGTAGAAGAGATTCTTGCCCGTCTTGTTATCTTTCAGCGAGATATGCATGTGTCCACTGTTGCCAGGTAGTCCTTCGCGAGGCTTTGCCATGAAGCACGGGGTGATCCCATAACTGGAGCTCACATTCTTCACGGCAAGCTTAAAGAGGGCAGCTTTGTCGGCCATTGCTCTGATCTCGCCGTACTCCAGCGCAGCCTCGTACACGCCGGGGCCACTCTCGGTGTGCCATCCTTCAATATCGCATCGGAACTTGCTGCATGCCTTGAATATGTCGTAATACCAATCCTGATTATGAGTGGGTCGCGTTAAGGAGTATCCAAACATGCCTTCTTCCAAACTGGGCAGATCACTGGGTCGATTCTTTTGCAGGAAGGTCGCCGTAGAGCTCGAGTTACGCTCCTCTGGGTGCTGCGTGGAGGGAGCACGAAATGTAAAGAATTCATATTCAGCTGAAATAGGAATACAGTCATTAGCATCTCCTCCTCTAGGCTACGGTGTTGGATCGCAGGCCACTCCAATATAAAGAGGTCACACGTGAAGTGCTGCTCGCTTGTAGACCTGGTCATGTCCAAGAATCGAACGCGACCACCTTGATAGAAGAGTGTGCACTTACCTCCTGCCAAAGCGCCAATACCCTTTGCCTCGATCTTCTCGGCCTGAGTCTCGAGCAAGCTTCTTGGGCATGCGCTCAGCTTTCCACCTTCAGGCTCTCGAAATGAGCACAGGAAGAATGGCACATTGCTCTCCCAAGGAATACGCCTGAAGCTGCTCAAGTCCACCTCAGCAGTGATATCCCGGTATCCATTTTCCGCATTGCTAATCTTCAATTCGCGAAAGTAAGTCTGATCGTGCATATCCCAGCCGAAGATCACCGAACAGAAGCCAAAGCCTGACTGCGCAATCGACATGAACTTCTTCTTGGACATCAATTTGCCTCGAACCTGGCCATCGACATCCACACCGCCGACCTTGATGCCCTCATCGTCCTTCAGCAGCTCGTGCAAGTCGTCGAACGTAAGCTCGGCGGGATCGTCGGTGATGGCCATTCTGGTGCTTTGAGCTTCAAGGTGTCGGTTGGAGATTGGGGGATTTCGGACAATGTGAGGAAGCGCTTCAGGTAGCTGTGATCAGTAATCACGAGGCGAGGGGCTATGCTATGCTAGAGGAGGCTGTGGTTGAGTACAGCCGTCCTGATTGCTTGTTGTTGAAGGTGCGTTGCTAGGGGTGGTATGGAGACACCACTGTCTTATCTGCTTAGCTGCATTCGCGGCCTATCATACGGGTCGCTAATAATGCTATCTTCTGGCAATGGATGAACAATGGCAACACTGGATGGCACCACAGGCGAGGAACAACAGCTCCTCCTCAGCTCTAGAACTAGCAGGACACGGTCTAGCGTGCGCGGCGCATGTTCACTTCCAAGTTTCGTGTGGCTGCCTTGCCGATCATTCGAAGTCATAGGCGTGATGAGCACCTCTTCTTGTCATTGGTATATATTTCCCCGAGTACTACAGCCGATTGTTTCGTCCTCCATGGTGATCATATCCCATCGTCTCTGAGGCTTTCCTTCTCTCAATAACTTATTCTAACCCTGGTCATCGAGACAGGCAAGGGACCGCTGTCTTGCTTCTGCAACAAGCAGAGCCTCGCACGCGACAGCGATACTGCTCACCAGTCACAATCCCGCGAGATGGATATGTTCAAAAGACCGCCGAACACGCGTACCCTGGCAGCCTCAATGTGCTCACGGAAGGTCCAACCACCGGACCAGCGCCGATGTGAATACATCATGTAAAAATCTGCAGTGTTTTCTCGACGATGATGCGCTAGCGGCGGGAGTCCGTGTGGGCGAGATATGACTTATCGGGCGGCGAGAATGTGAAACGATTCGACGTCAATGTATGAGTAAGTCGTGCGAGCAACATTCTGAAAAACAAGAGAGTGTTGTGCAACATCCGCGCAACATCACAAACTCCCTTCCCGACACCTGCTCTCATCGCCGTCTCCAAAGCAAAAATCCCAAAACAAGGCTTGGCTGACCTAGGGATTCCATTACTGCTTTGGGACTTGCCTCTGAAACTTTTCAATAACAACAGCCAACTTCAACAGAATGTGAGGGCAAAATGTACCAATCACTATGAAAGCACATGTTGACGACTTTAATCTAGGGCTGCAAACGGAACCACTCCTTGCGGTCGTCTGGCCGGCAAGAATGCCATCATTACTGGAGCAGCAGGTGGCATTGGGCTGGAAACCACGATTCTGTTTCTTCGTGAAGGCGCCAATGTCTTGATGACCGACATTTCTGAGCCAGCTCTTGAGAAAGCGCTTGCTAAGGCAAAGAAACACGCTCCAAATGCTCACGGCAGAGTGGATACCGCCAAAGTAGATGTCTCCAAGGAGGCGGACATTCAGGCAGTCATTGGGAAACTCGACGCTTGGGGTGGCATCGATGTTATGTTCAACAACGCAGGTATCATGCATGGCGATGATGCAGGTGGGCTTGACTACGCTCCTCTAAACATGAACAAGTGATGCTAATTTGACTCGCTAGACGCCATCGACACTCCGGAGAAGATCTGGGACTTGACACAGAACATCAATGTCAAGGGAGTCTGGTTCGGAAGCAAGCATGCTGTGCTTTCTTTACGCAAGCACAAGAAGACCCGAGGCAGCATCATCAATACGGCCTCAGTCGTTGCCCTTGTCGGATCCGCCACTCCTCAGCTGGCATACACAGCCTCAAAGGGAGCTGTCCTTGCCATGACACGCGAGCTGGCCATTGTCCATGCGAGAGAAGGTTTCCGCTTCAACGCTCTCTGCCCTGCTCCGCTAAACACTCCACTCCTTCAGGACTGGTTAGGCGACGATCAGGCCAAGCGTCATCGGCGTGAGGTGCACTTCCCAACTGGACGCTTTGGCGAGGCAATCGAGCAGGCCCAAGCCGTACTCTTCTTGGCCAGCGATGAGTCCAGCTTTGTGAATGGCACGGACTTTGTTGTTGATGGAGGTATGACCAAGGCATATGTCACTCCAGAGGGCCCTGCCACCGCTCCTCCTGCGAACTTCGCACGATAGTCGCACTGCTCTTGATTCCAGGCTGTAGGCGCTTAAGTTCTTGCCGCTGGAAATGTTTGCAGCAAATATGGACGGGCGGAGTAGCAGACTAGAAGTTCATAGAGGCACGATTTTAATGATACAATTTCTCTCCGGTCGATTAGGTCTAACATTGACTGGCTACTGCCTCACATCTTGTATTATATGGAGTCTCCGGACTCATCATGATCACAGAGATGTGTCACAACCAATTCTTGAGTCTCCTCCACACGCCTATGGTGATTGCCCAGAGTAGCAAGCAGCCAACCACGGCGAAAGCAAGTTTGATCTCGCCAGCGTCATATGGCTCCTTCTGGAGAGCGTCCTTGAATCGGTCTGGGAGTCACAGGCTTCCACCTGCGGCCTTGTCTCCTAGGTCTGGAATCTGCTTCTGCAAATACTGCGCCAAATCCTCAATCTCCTGTGGTGCAGCGCTGTGTGGCAAATTCTTGTACGTCCTGAAGTCCACGTTCCAGCCCCACTCCTTGAGCTTGTCTGCCGTCGCCTTTCCCCAGGCATACCTTACGACTGGGTCTGCATCACCATGTCCCATAAAGATTGGGGTCTGCTGGTTAGGAGAGTCCTTGGGCACCAATTCTCTGACCTTGCCTTGCAGCAGTAAATAGCAGCTCAGGCCGAAGATGCCGCCAAGCTTGGTAGGACTGGTGATGCCAGCCATCAGACTCATAGCACCTCCTTGACTGAAACCACCTAGAACGATTCGTTCGGTTGGTATGCCTGCCTTGATCTCATCTTCAATCAAGGTGTGGAACACTTTTTGACTGCGCAGAATTCCAGCTTCGTCCTCATTACGGTTGGCTAAGTCGCCAAAGTCTGCGATGTCGTACCAGCCTTTTCATGAGATGTCAGTGATGATTGCTGCATGCCTTGGAGGTGTCATGTAACGTGTGATTACTTACCCGGCATCGCCATGCCTCCATTGACTGTGATTGGGATATTCTGCTTTTGTCAGCGAGCGCCATAGACATTTAACGATAGTCAGTACTGACAGGTGCATTGGGAAAGACGAACTTGGTCTCCGGAAACAGAGACTTCCGACGAAACTCTTCAGCAAGAGAGTACCTGTTCTCATGTGAGTGGGCTTGTGCCGAAAGCTTGATGCAACGACTTTGAACATCGCCATGGCTTACCATCCCGCGCCGCTGTCCAAGTATTAGCATGTGAAGGTCGGGTTCTATGCTTGATCTTTCATGTATGAACATACGAATCTCCTAGGCCATGGGCGACGATTACTGTGGAGGTGTGACGCTTGACAGCCTCGACAACCAATGCCTTGGCGGCTGACATATTCGTGATTGTTTTTCTCTCGTGTCAGGAATTACTGCTTCCCCTTTTTTGAGATGACCGAAAGGAAGTTCGGCGATTTTTGTCGTCGTTGATTACGGTGTTGGTGTTGTGTCAAAGCAGGGGCGCGGCCAGAATTCCGAAGTCACGATCCCCCGGCACGAAAGTGACAAAGCAGCTCTGCCTGACTTCAACTGCTGTACAAGAGGTTCTAGAATGCTCGAGCGGCATTTTGGCAAGTGATGCCTTCCTATTTTCCTTGGATCAAGACTATTTTCATTGGATTACTGTTGGCCTTGACGCCGCTTGTACTGCTGAAAGATAAAACGGCAGACACGATCTTCTACAGACGTTGGCTGGAGTCAGTCCTTCGCAGACCACCATCAACATCAGCTCAGAGTCCACACACGTCTCCTTTAAGCCAAACGGATTCATTTTCTAGCAAAAACACAATGACACGAACGCCGGTCTATTTCCTCTCTCATGGGGGTATGATTGCTAAACCTGGTAGAGTGACATACGAAGAGCGAGAACTAATCATCACCACTTTGCTCAGGCCCGAACATCATGGAAGAAACGCAACATCCTGCGTATGCGAAATTGCAAGAAATTGGTCTCGAGATAACTCAGAAAGTCAAGCCCAAAGCCGTAATCGTCTTTTCTGCGCACGTAGGTCGAATGGCTGAGTTTATGGCACGAATTAGCTGACCATGATTCACGTTCTTTAGTGGGAAGGGGGCCGCGACACCATAGAGGTCAATACGGCAACGGAAATGCCTCTCATCTATGACTTTTATGGATTTCCTCCTCACTACTATGAGTTCAAGTTCCCGAACAAAGGTTCTCCAGAACTCGCAGAAAAACTTTTGCAAAATATTCAGAATGCTGGAATCAAGGCCGAGGGTGTTAGAAGAGGGTTGGACCATGGTGTCTGGGCTTCTTTTATGTGCGCATTCGACCCCGTCAAGAATCCTCTGACGGTGCCTATCGTCCAAGCAAGTATTTTCGGCGCGGATGATGCCGACATGCACTACAACCTTGGAAAAGCAGTGTCCTCTCTTCGTGACGAAGGTATCCAGATCATTGTCTCTGGCATGGCGGTACACAATCTGAGAGATATAGCCCGTGTATGGGGCCAGCCCGGCGCCCTGGAATATACGTACTCGTTCGACGCCGCGCTCAAGGATGCCGTGGAGGAAGCTCCAGAAAACAGGCAGAAGGCCATGGCTGAACTGCTGAAGCGGAAAGATGCAAGAAAGGCGCACCCAAGTTTCGAACATCTTTTGTAAGTGCAGTGATATGTGGCGCTTGGCGAAGCGTGCTGACCTCTTGTCTTTCCAGGCCTATATACATCGGCGCAGGTGCAGCCTATGAGGAGAAGGGTAAGCAGCTTTGGACATTGCCGGAAGGCTCTATGAGTTGGGCACAATATCGATTCGGAGAGGTGGGAGCATGACGAGATTAGGATTTACTGCTCCAGATATAGCAGCATGCACCTCGGGTCCTGCTTTTGGGTATCTAGCTGTGCTTCATCATCAAGCTCTGTCGTAATGTACAAAATTGTACAGGAAGAGTGTTACTGCTTCGTTGATTCGTTGCTTGCGCTCTCTTTCGATATCGTTTAGTGTCTACTATTGCTCCTTCACCAGGGCAGTGACCTTATCCTCAATTGCCTTGGCATCCAGTCCTGGGCACAGTATTAGAATCATGTGAGTGTGCGGCCGCTACAAGCCACGACGCTGCTACTCGCCTTTCAAATCTGCCACCTTTTCTCGTCCAAACTCGTATCTTGCGTATACTCGAGGTTCAATGCCTAGCGCTTCTCGGATCATGATCGGGGTATGAGGATTGTGGTGCTTCATGGTTGGGTATGCGCGCGTCAGGAACGATCTATTGTTGACTATTGTTAGCAATGCGGCGCTTCTAGGCAAGTACAATCGATGCCAATGGACTTTTCGTACCGTACAGCATTGGAGTGCTCGGACGTCTGGCAGTGGAGGAAGCGTAGCTCCTTGAGGCCCTTGGTGAAGGCGTATTTGCTCGTCATAGTGGCTGTTATCACAGTAGAGGAGGAAAGAGTGTACACCTCGCGCAGAGACGGCAGTGAGGTGGCTGTGAAGGCGATGAAAGCCGAAGTGCTGTATATCAGAAGTAGGATTGTGCTTTAGTAAGTAGCGATCGACTTGCAGCTCCAATTGTCTCCGCTCCACCCAAGGCTTGGCTCCGACGACCTCAGCAGAAACAGCTACTTATTCCCGTCACAAACTAAGGGCAACGTCCAGGTCGCATACACTCCCTCGCCAGCCAGCGTAACGACCTGCACGATCGGCCTCTTGCAGCATACCGCATTCGCAATGTCGACATCGATGCGCTTCGGCCTGCGCGCCGCGCAGAACAGCTTCCGTCAGCCCGTAATCCGTCAGAATGTCAACCGATTTGCTCAAAGACGAACACAATCTACCGTCGCGGACGCTGCAGAGGCGACGAAGAGCAATGAGTCTGCGTTCAGCAAGTTCTTCAACTCCCCAGTTGGCCCAAAGACCGTTCACTTCTGGGCTCCGATCATGAAAGTGAGTGACTCCTCCTTGCAGTGACAAGCCATTGAGTCGCCGAAAAGCGTACTCTACATGCAACTTTACTGCTATACACCGGTACTGATATTTCATTCTACAGTGGGGCCTCGTCCTTGCCGGTGCTGCTGATTTTGCCCGACCCGCGGACCAGCTTTCAATCTCACAAAATGGCGCTCTTATGGCTACTGGTCTAATCTGGACGCGATGGTGCTTCGTCATCAAGCCAAAGAATCTGTTTCTCGCCAGTGTAAATTTCCTCCTGTTCTGCGTCGGTGCAACACAAGTCACTCGAGTCCTTATGTACCAAAAGAGCTTGAAGGGCGAGACTTTGGGCGAGGAGATCAGGGACGAGGCGAAGAGCGAGGGTAGCAAGCTGGAGCAGGCGTTTGACAAGGCAGAGAAGAAGGTCGAGCAGAGGGTTGGTGGAAAGTAAGGAGTGGAAATGGTTCATGTGGACTGGGCGGATTGGAGGATATGAGAAGTCTCTTGCCCTGGGACGGACAGTAGAGTTATCTGTCTATAAGTCATGTAGCGTTCTCGCCTGGCTGTTGCGTGAGCAAGTGCTTCTGCACGCCGACTGATATGAAATTTCTGTATAGCTTTTGACTGAGCCATCCGCTACTTTAGGCCCTGTATACTTGCTTAGGTTGCGAGGTTATCGGAGGCAGGTTATCGTCTATAACCTATAATCTATAGGTTATCTTCCGCCGTTTATTTAATAACCTATACTACTTTCTAGGTTATAGATTATCGTCTTATAGGTTATCGGAATTGCTTGTTCTAGTAGGTATATACGAATAATCTATCTACCTCCTCGTAAGGAGCTTTTAGCCCCTAAATCGTGCCCTGCTAGTAGTGCGGAAGAACCTACTTCTTAGCCGCGTAGATCTCGTATTTCGCGTTATAGACTATACTATTATTATTATTTTATCGTCTCTTGCTATTACTATACTATAATAGAAGCCGCTTAAGTCGCCGTAGTTATTATTACCCTTGCTAGCGTATCTCTTACTACCGTTCTACCCTTCTTCCGACCTACGACGTAGGAGCGCTAGTATTTCTCCTCGGATAAGATCGAGACTCTAACGGACCGCGAGAAGGGTAGAAAGGAGATATATAGGTATCTAAATAGACTAGAAGACGTATATTATAGTACGACGCGTTTAAAATAGCTAGTATTGCGATCGTTAATTAAAGAGCTAGAAGAGAGCGGCGATTTAGATAGGTATAGCGCTATAAAGGTCGATATCGATAAGTAGGTAGTTATCTTCTTAGACTTCGTAGTATATAACCTATCGGTACGGCAGCTACGTAATTAGTATTAGTACTCGTTTAATACCTTCTATTTAATTATTAAGAAGGTTAGTAAAGCGCTCTATCGGATAGCCGATAAATATATAAAGTTGCTAGATAAGGACGAGGTCTACGAGAACTTGAAGCTAAATAATCTAATCTTTAAGTACTTCCGTAGCGCTATCGGCGCGCTAGACGGCACTTATATCTACGCTTAAATACTATACTAAGAATAGAGCGCGTAGCGCTATAGGAAGAACTTTATCGCGTAGAATATTATAGCGGCGTATAACTTTAATTGCAAGTTCTAGTATACGCTAGTCGGATACGAGGGCTCTACGAATAATAGTACGGTTCTTAGTCGCGCCTTTAAGAGTAGATTCTCGGTGCTAGAAGATCGATATTATCTAGCGGATAGTAGATATTCTTCGCTCGATCGACGCCTTCTCGTACTATACTAAGCGATACAATATTACCTACGTAAGTAGTATACCGCGTAGCGAAGGCCTAAGACGAAGGAAGAGTTGTTTAACCTACGTTACGCTTAGCTTCGTAACTATATTAAAAGGATCTTCGGTATTATTAAGAAGCGCTTTGCTATCGTCGCTTAAGGACCTTACTAAGGATATAAACTTATCGACTAAAAGCGTATTCTTATAGCGTATCTTGTCCTTTATAATTATATCCTTTGCTATAGTTCTTAACCTCTTAAATCCGAGCCGCAACTTCTTATTAATAAGAGCGGTATAATAGGCAATCGAGACCGAGCGAATAGTACTATCTAAGGCGCGGTTAAGGATAAAGATATAGTTAGGTTTCGTAATAAACTAGCGGAAGATATATAGCAAGATTATCTCGAGTACTTAGAGAAAGCGAGGCTCGATAAGCGTAGACCGTAGAAGTAGTAGTAGAGCTAGCGGTATACGTAGGGGTATTTAGCGGAGGATTAGAACGGCGTTTCTAGTAAGGAATTAAGTGTTTCTTCCTCTATTTAGCTATTAGCGGTATATAACGACCTCTCTCGTATCTCTCTCGTATTACTCTTAATTCTCGAATAGGTAGTAGCGAGTGCGATTAACGTTACGACTATACGGTCTTAGCGGGGTCTATATAGGTTATAAAGAGTAGAAGAATTGTATTTATATAAAAGCCGATTACGTACACTTTGTTAAAACACTATCGAATACTAATTAAGTCTAATTAATTCAAATGCTACACTTATTGCTAGACAATATCTATACTCTTTATATACCTAAGTCGAGAAATTAGGCTCGGACTCGGAATAAGCTAATTTTAACTCTAGTTATTCTAGCAATATCAACTCTTCTAATAACAACAACCTATCTCTAGCTCTACGAATACCCGCGGTACGTATATAGCGACGGCTAGCTATAACTAGGTATATCTAGACACTATCCTACCAATTTAGGAGCGCTACTAACCTCCTAATAAAGCTCCTAGAAGAATGCCTCGAAATTAGCCTATCTCTCCGGTCTTACTATCGAGATAGCGATATTCGCTCGATAAGTTACCTTTCTAACTTCCTTCGCTATCGCATTCTTAAGCGTAAATAGCTAATCTTTTAATACTTCTAGGTTAAATAAGCGCTCGTAAACGATCTCTAATAGCTCCTTAATTCGTAATAGCGGTATAGAAGCCCTAGCTTCGGATATAGATATAAAGTTAGCGAGTGTCTCTTATAGCGGCTTAAAGGTAGAGATAGTAGCCTTCTTATTAGCTTCTTACTCGGCATTCTATCTGCGATAGATACGCTTACCCTCTACCTTCGCTCTCTATATCTTCTTCTTATTAAGCTTCTATTTCTTCGCCGCTATCTTATACTAACGTTTAAACTCGCTAAGTTCTTCTAGGTCCGTAGACTCGCTCGCTCCGCCGCTCTCGCTTTTAGTAGGCTCCTTATCCGACTTATCTACGGCCTTATTACTAGGCTTATCTTCCGCTAACGTCTTCGCCGTCTTAGCTCTATCTCCTATCGTAATATTACTTCCGATAAGTATCTCTAACTCCGACTGCTACGCCGGCAACTACTCGAGATATATAGCGCACTCCGGATAAGCCTTATTATAAGTATCTTCGACCTCTTCTATAGACCGTAGAGGCTGTCTATTCTAGCCGCTAATATAAGTATTATAGATAACCTAAACGCGCTACTCCTTCTTTAACTATATCTACTTATTCTTTAAGGACTCGTCTTTAAACTAGAGCTAGAACTTCTTACTTATTTAAGTAGTAATAGGCCTTAGATCCTTTAAGCGGAAGTTCTTACTATCGGTCTACTTAGCGCGTAGTTTAATTAACTCGTCGAGGAAGTATTTAAGGTACTCGTTAGTATACTTCTATAGCAATAGATACTTCTTATTTAGATTAGAATTAACCGGCTTCTTGCGCCGCTATCGCTTCCGCTTAATAGTACGCTTTAGAGCTATTATAATAGACAAGAGACTATATATAAAGGAGGGTAGTTTATTAAGAGCCGGAATAGCACTTAGATTAGAAGACGCGACGTATTACAAGCGTATTAAATTGCTAAGAGAGTCTAATTACGGTAACCTATAACCTTATTTAATAGCGGAGCCGTTTATATAATAATCGGTTATCTATAGGTTATTAAACACAGGTTATATTGCGATAACCTACAACCTACAACCTAAGCAAGTATATAGGGCCTTATCTAAACTAAGGCGACCGGGATTCGCCTAACTGTCGTTCCTGCGCTTAGGCTTTATAAAAAAGCAATCTTCGAGACAGCCCTACCTCCTATTAGGCTTATAGGCATAAAGAATCAAACTGCGACCGAGTGTACGTAATAGATTAGTAATTAGGGCTAGCTTCCGAACTTTCCGACTAGCTAATTACAAACACACCTAATAGTTCTTCGCCTATAAGCCTAAGAACAAGCCGTACTAAACTAGCCTACGACGTACTACTTTTTCGCGACTACGCAAATATAACAATCTAAATAGCGGAGATTGTAGCCCTACTAATTGCGCTTTATTCTACCTACTAAATAAGTCTATGCGACGTTAGCGCGTTAAGTTTTCGCTATTCTGCTAAGCCGACTCGACTATAGCTATCCGGATTGCTAGGCAGCTAGCTACACTACTAGAAACACCTTAATATATAATATACCGCATCGCCTAGCTAACACTTAGAGGTCCTTCTCCTAACGCCGGTAATTATTGTTTAGGTAGGCGAAAATTCCGTCCGACGCCTACTAACTAGTAACCGCTCTATAGCCTTCGAGGGCAATCGACAACCTTCCTATAGCCGACTCGATACTTCGAGGTCCTTCGTAGACTATTTCTAAACACCTTTTATATATAGCATAAGTCTATCCGAGGTATAGTTGTTAAGTTGCTACTATATAGCAGACGCGACTCTAAAGCTAAGGTTAAAACACCTAAAAGTCGCTACTACTACCGCTGCTACTATAGCTGCTACTATAGCTACTAGCACCGCTACTACTATAGCTGCTAGCACCGCTGCTACTATAGCTAGGAGACCGCTGCTATAGCTGCTAGTACCGCTGCTACTATAGCTACTATTGCTACTAATATATCGAGTAACGATCTATCCTCCTTAACCTCGGTTCTACTATCTAATAATAACCTAGTCGGTAGTGCTATCGCCTATAACTATAATAAGAATATAACCGGCCTAGACGACGATGCTGCTTTACTTAGAGGACCTAAGGAACAGACTGTTCTTATAGGCGTACAGACCGATCTACTAATCTATCTAAGTAGCGGCGGCATTCTCTCTAACCCTCTAGATAAATTAGTTAGACTAGCCGGGATAGATAAGATTAGTAACTTCTAGGATAAGGCATCTGTAGATAAAGACCTTAGCGAGAAGGATAAAGAGATGTCCGACGACGAGGAAGATCTCGAGCTTCGCGATAGTAACGAAGAAGATAGTAATAAAGATAGTAATAAAGCTAGCGAAGAAGATAGTAAAGAGGCAGACTAGCCTCTTACCGAAGAAGAGCGCCTTATAGCGGCCGCTCGCAGGAAGAGGAACCGCGATAAGCACTATAAAGAGATTAAGGAGCTTATAAATAAGTATAAGATTACTATACCGTACCTTATAAAGTTCCTAGTTAGCAAGCTAGGCAAGAAGGCCTAGCAGGACGTAACCTAGGATTAACTACGCGTCTTAACGAGGCGATCTAAGCGGTATAACAGAAACCTTAAGTCTCTCCTCGATGCCTTCCTAGAAGAACGCCTATTTAGCGCTCGTATTATACGTATAGAGCTTAAGACCCTTATCGGTAAGGATCTCTTTAGTACCT